GTATGAACTCTTCTAGTTCGGGCCCGTTCTCCACCCGTCGGGCCAGGTGGATCCACTGTTGTAGTTTCGAGCGGGCCTTGTCGGGCTGGTCTCGAATCTGAGCAACGAGCCTTTCGGCGCTCCAAAATCCACTTTATCCGTGTTATCTTTGATAAACTCCGAGAAGATGGCGCGAATCTGGTTGGCCGATGCGGCCCGGTTCGGGCACATCCAGCTGATGTGTCCTTCTTGGCCGCAGTTGTAGCAGCGAGTGCTGCGGGCCATAGTGGGGGCCTGGGCTCGGTCGATCTCCGTAGGTGCAGGCCACGTAGCGGGCCCGGCGACTGTGGTTGCCCCGTTTCCTCGGGGGTGCGGCCACGGTCGGTCCCGGTGGCGCTGATCGCCGCGTTTCGGGCCCATCCGTTGAATGGGTTGCGGTTGCTGAACCCGCCTTTTGCGGGGGCAGGTGCTGTCGGGGGCGTTTTGGCCCGCGGGTGGTTGATCTTGTGGCTCTCATCGAAGATATGGTAGCGGCGGAGGGCGCCGGCTTGCTTGATGGCCTCTGCCTTCCAGGCCTTGTAGGTATCGGGGAGTGTATCCTTTCGGTAAACCGCGTTCGTAACGGCCCGAAGTATACCGTTCTTGGCGATGCAAATGAGATTGACGTCATTGTAGTGCGCGACTTTGTTGAGAGAGTCGAGTATGGTGAAATAGCTAGTTGCGTCCATGTCCTTGGTCAGGACGTGGGTCTCCATCTTCTGCTGCGCGATCTCGGCATGGGCCTCTCCTCGGAAGGCCGCGATGAAGGCCTTTTTGAAGCCTTCGTACGTAGTATAAGCTTCGGCGGTGCAGAGCTTCATGGCTTGGGAAACGTTCTCTTTCCACGTGACCGTGTTTCCTCCTTTGATGTAGGAGAGCGCGTACGAGATCTTTCGCACCTCGTCATTGTAAATGTTCGCATTGGCTTCGAAGGCCAACCAACAGTCTGCCAGGAAGGCGTCTACTTGGCTGGCATCGCCCATGAACTCCTTAGGGGGAGAGACAGTTACTCGTGTATTCCCTCCGAGGGGCTGATGGGCCAAGTCCTCTCTGGCTTAGCAGGGCAGATCGTAGCTCTGCATAACTCCTTGCTGTACAGCTGTGTATTCCCCGTTTACTCGGGACAGCTCAGCCTCGATGGCCACCTGTCGATTCGCCAGGGCAGTGTTTTCCGCCCTAAGTTGCTTCATCTCCTAGTTCGTTCGGAACAGATGGGCGAACAGGAACTCCTGTTGTTCGTTATGGCCCAAGGCCATGAATCGGGCACGCTCGTCCCCCCTGATTCGCGGGGGGTGCCCATTGTACTGTTGTGCTCGGTAGACATTTGTCGCGCTTCTTGCGTTCGTGGGGGAGGCTAATATTCTGTCAGTGTCGGGCTTGGGCCGTATCGGGGCGTCGGGGGGTCCGACTTCGAGAGGGTCTGAGGAGCACGAGAGATGGGTGTCAGCCCAAAGAATAGACAATATTAGCCTAGCGACTACATCTTGCGAGTACGGTTTTTATATGCTATGATATTAGGGATGGATCGGATGGGCGCCAGGTCCCAGGGCGGATCGGATGGGCGCTGCGTAGGGCCGCAGGGGTGAAGGGAAGGGGTTGGAAGCATGGGGAAGCGTCGAGGAGTATGGCGGTTGTGCGGCCCGACCCGAACCGTGACATTTTTCGCCGCTGCTGATAATCTCTAATCCTGGAAAATAATCTTTGTGAACCACTTTGTATTAAAATACCTGGTGTATAAAAGGTAAATTCAGGTTGTGTTTCTAAGACCCATGGCATGAAAGGTGCATCAGTTAGTAAGCTGGCTTTATTATCAAGAATTTTCCTAAAACAGGTTTTCTGTGTTCTCTCTTTCATGTAGGACAAGCATGCAATAAGTAAATGAAATATAGGGTTTGCCTTGTCATTTTCAAGCAAATGGCATTTCTTAACTAATAAATCAGAAAGCCTAGTACATTTGATATACTGTTTCTTGGCATTGAAATCCATGTATCACTACAAGCAAGTGAGTTTGTAGTTCTACCCAAAGCAATACGCGACATACAAACTGGTCCCAAGTCGGTGATTCGTCCTCTGCCTCAACAATCCGAAATCGTACTCTCCCTGAAGCGCCGGTCCTTGGGGTCTGTGGACATGCAGTCATAGTGGCATCGCGCTGACCATGACTCCGCCGAGGTTCAAGTTGATGATAATAGTTCGTGGTGTGCTGGGTATCTGCCATTGATACCCGTCAGAAAACAACGGAAATTGATGAGGAACAGATAATGCTAACGTTTGTGGCCAGCGAGCTCCAAGTCATCGTCGTCCTCAAACGACTCGCCGGACTCTGTTAGAGACGCGGGGGAGTCAACAGATTGGCGCGTCAGAATAGATTTGGGCGGCACACACGAAGAAACCCTTGCGCTGAGGGTCCTTCTCGTCTGCGGCTTCTTTGTCCTGATGCCGAGAGCAGCCGCAATTGACTGGACAAATGTCGAAATAGAGAAAGAAGAAGAGCGCCTACGACGACGGGGGGCAAAGCGGGTAGGGGGGACGATGGCGCGAGTGTAAGGCATGGTATTTGGCTCTTTGTCTGTTATCAGCCGCGTTTGAGGTTTTGGATGATAAAAAATGAGGATGTTTTAGACAGTGCTCTTATAGGACGCGACAAAAGGGGCCAAGGCGGTGAAGAAACTTGACTCGGAATCGGGAGGAAAACGTAGTGAACTTCGTATCCCTGTAGTGTTTGGTTGGCTGGGGGTTTCGGACTCGGGAGCAAATCATCGACGCGAAAAGTGAGGTCTTGTTAGTGCGCCTGGAGCCTACAGGCCTCGGTACTGACGACGAGGATGGGGGACATTGTAAATCATAGCATATGATTCGGGGAATGCAATACAAGGACACAGGGCGGTGTAGGACAGATATAGACATAGGGGTTGTAGAACGTGGCGAAACGTAGCGCTGGACCGGATCTTCGAGTCAATTGTGCAAGTTTTGGGGTCGGAGTGCCTTGAGTACCGTTTCACGACAAGCAAGTAATATTGCAGTCAAGGGGATGATGATGTCACCAATGTAGTGGTGAAATAACCAGTACTGAGCTGGGGATATAGATGGTCCCAGTAGCTGTGATGACCACATTCTATACCGGGAGCCATATCAAGCGAATGGCGAAGAAAAGACAAGTTGCTGATGAATGGTAACGAGTGAATGAAGGATTAAGACGCATTCGTAGGAGGAGGAGGAGGGGTATGTATCTCGTTGTCTGCATCGTCTCTCAAAATTTCGGTGGGAACAGAATGAAGGCCGCCTCAAGCAAAGCCTTTAGTAATGAGTATCATCCATATCACAAAGAGTGAGGGAAACGCACCTTGAAACACACATCCTGTCTGCTCTAGACTCTCTTCCGCTAATTCCTATCGATACCTTGGGCTCGTCGACCAGTCTCGCCATTTCCGTGGTACCCGCCATTCTCCGTGCAGCTTGAAACCAGGGACTTGAGAGGATGCGGCGACCAACCCGCTGCTTGCTGTCGTGGTTTACCAGGCACTGCAAGCCACCTTCAAAGAACGGAGTTGGTCAATGCCAATGGGAAAGACAGGGGAACACACGATTCCAACGTTTGTGGGTCGTTAACGCGCCGACCATGCTTGCCCATTGACCCAACAGTAACCAAAATCCACCATCCGCCCGAAACTCCGCTTTGACGGTGTCCCGCAGATTCCTGGATTGGGTTTGGAGAACACGCACAGCGGCTGAGAAACCTGACTCCAGAGGAAGTGTTATTCTGCGAATAAAAGAGACAAGGCCTGAATGCACACACATTCCACATTCTGACCAGAAAACCTAGTATCCGACACCCATTAGATGCTCCATGATTCGATTGTTAGGCAAAGCAGAGCAGGACTGTGCATCGCAAGGTGCTGGGGGCAGCAATTTGACCGACATGTTCTTGAGGAATGATATCTTCTACTGCTTGCCTTGTTTCCGTGGCTGAACCTCAACGCTCAGGCTGGCACCGTTCGCCGTGAAACTTGAGGAGCTGAGGAGCATAGCTGTAAAGGTTCAGTTTTGTGGGATACAAAAGACTGAATAGGCTTACTTTCCAGCCTCGGACAACAAGAGTGAGATAGGGTGCAGGATTGAATTATGGGGGGTTATTAAAACCGGTTTGAACTCCCAGCCGATTTAGAAACCGGTTTGTAAACAGGGATTGATTAAAATTGCCTAAAATGGCAATTTTTGACCTTTTGAATCATTTTTTGGGCTAGCATATATATTCACTTGTTCTTTTACACCATTTCTCAAGCTTTCAGGGTACCCCTTGCTATCCTAAGTTATATTCTGTGTTGTCTGTATATGGTGTGACCCTATCACTGATGTGACGGTAACACTCGGAGCCTTTAAAAAACCTCCAGTGACATTAAATGGAGAGTAACAATGATGTTACCTGTATAGCTGTAAGTATAGCTGCTACAGCATGAGCCAAAGTCTGTCTACAACCAGTGAATTGCCTAATTTTCCTACGGGTCATGTGTTTTGAAACAGCACTTTTTCTGGAAATAATTAAAAACAGCGGTTTGAAACAGCTGTTTCGAAACGCGGTTTGAAACACCACTTAAATCCTGCACCCTAGAGTGAGAAGCAAAGACAAGCCAAAAGGATGATGATGTAAGCAGCGCCTGTTTCCTTTCGCTGTTTTGAAGTTTTTCCATCGCGCCGCAATAATAGCGGCCGCATAGACACACGATGCCACACATAAGACCCGAGCCAGAATCACTTCTCTAACAAGTTCTCGCCTGTCTGGGGTGGATGCTTATGACCAGCGATATCTAGTCGATGTCATTAAGTACCTCCGCCATGCTTGCGGGTTTAGCCTCCCAGTTGGCTTCAAAGTTCGGATTTATTGCTCAAGACTTCTCAATGGCGAATAAGGGAAGCTCAGAGTTGAGCAAGATTTAACGATATACACATCTATAACTCAAAATAAACAGGTATCCGTTTGCTTTCTAGCGCGCTGTCTCCCTTATCAGACTCACTGCTCCGGAAGAACGCGGCACGATAGAGCATTTGAATGGGACGGGTTGCCTATCCAGAAGAGAGTCAGTGCCTCCCACGACCACAGCGTACTAGACCACCCACATGACAAGGCCGGAAATATATTCGTTCGTCGGCTCGATAACGACATCGTGCTTGTCGACGGCTTTCTGGATGTCCAGCGTCGCAAGAATGGAGGTAATGGACATCCAAATTGAGGACATGGCCAGATGTCTCCCAACGCACGCTCTCCGGCCCAAGCCAAAAGCCAATTCCCAGCCTTTCATCGCGGGATTGAGCGCCGCAGTCGGTAGAAGCCATCGCTCCGGGAGGAATGACTCTGCATGAGGGTAAACTGACTGGGTAAGAGTAAGTGGATGAAGTTAAGTGAAAGGATCGTTTACCTCGTCATGAAGAATCGCCCTGCGGAAAATGCTATCAGCGAGACCCACCGGCATTGCTCAGGGACTTGCCAGATATTCACGAGAACAATTGACTGTGCCGGGATTCGAAAGCCGCGATATTCGTCCTCGGTCTCGATGAAATGGGGTACTAATTAAATAAACATCAATCATTAATACTCGCCAGAAATTAGGCATACCAAGCGGAAGAGCTGGCTGCCAACGCAAAACCTCCCGGATTACCGCGCAAACATAAGGCATTGTTGACTCTGCCTCGTGGAACATCTCGAATTCCGGCAGCCTGCCGTCGCAAACACGATCGAGCTCCTGTTGAGCTTTGTGTTGGGCTTGCGGGTTTGCCAGCATCGCAAGGATGAATGTTCCGAGGACCGACACGGTTGTGTCAGCGCCAGCGCTATAGCTCGTTCCAGCCGCTTGCTTGATAGCCTCCTCCTCCACTGGGGGAGTTGCACTGAGCAGGGACGAGGCAAAAGACGGGGGATCGTCGCCAGCCGCCTAAGCCGCGCATTAGAAGGGTTCTGGGTTGAGTTTATGGACGAACAAGTTGTCGTTTGGTTTCTTCGAAAGGAAGATTGACGAGGTCTGATGATAACCGACGCCATTCCCGGGCAATTTTCTTGAAGCCCGCGCCAGGAAACCAAGGGGGCACATGCATAAGAGACGGGAGAAGATCCTGCGGTGGATAAATAAGCGGTCGGAGTTGCTAATGGATATGGCAGAAACATACGACAAGGAAGCGACCTGGTATGCTCGCATGCACTAAGGTTTGCAGAGCAGCTTCCGCCGTTTGGATATAGGGATCATCCTGAGGGCGAACATTGATCCCATAAACAGTCGACATGATTATCTCCCCCGACATACTGCAAAGCAAGTTAGTGGGAGGTAAATGTGAGCTAGCCTGACATGGCGACTAACTGTCTCAAGTGCCCAAGGAACCTTTCTGGATCATCGAGAAGACGTCGGAGCAGCTCGTGGCAGGCAGCGCGCTGCTGTGGATGATATCTTATTACGCCTTCAGCATTAAAGTGTTGATGGAATAATTTTCTGAGTTTGCGCCTTAAGAAGGTCAAGTGTTGACAACATGACACGGCGAGTCGTACCATCGTTCGCCTAGGACCGGACACCATTCAGCTTCAACATGGTCACCCTTGCAATTGGCGTGGATTCGCACCGTATTTCATGAATGCTAGGTGCAGGTCATAAGCAAGCCGCGCAGCCTTCGTCGCAATTTCTCACCAAAATTAAAGTTCCAGCCCATAAGCTCGTTTACCATGGGAAAGCGAGGCCTGTAAGTCGCGAGGAGTTGTAAATTAGGGTACACACACATGAACCTGCTCACCTGTCAGAATACAAGCTCGATCGCTTCTCGAGGAGGTCGTTAACCGCTTTAACAGAGGAGAGAACGATGACGGACGAGCCGACAACATCGATATGGACAATGTCCGACTCTGAAAGTGCGCCATGATAAGAAGACCACAACCATAGACCGAGAAGCTTACTGCATTCTTGGCTCCATCGCGCATACGTCTCCCATTCAAAGCCAGACGGCATGCTGAGGAGATTGCCTAGGAGAGGCAGTCCGGACGGCCCGGGAGGCAGTCGTAGGCGCGATTGACGGGCTCGTCGGGATCTCGGAAAGAGAAAGAGAGTGGAAACTGCGAATAAAAGTATTAGCACGAGCGACAAATAGTGAAACATTTCGTACAGCAAATGCAAAACATATGCGGGGCATATATATGTTTCTCCACTGCGCCATCCCCGAAACACGCGGCAGGCCAATTGTACGCGTTGGCCGGTGAGAAAAGGACGTTGACCACATGGTGGCAGCCTTCACGGATACTGTCAGGAGGAACGATGCGCCGACGGGATTTGAAGGCGAGCAGGTTGATGAGGCGCCATTGCTATACCGCCACGCCAGATTTGGGGCCATATCGATCCAAACTGAGGCCGCAGCAGTCCTAAAGCTGACCACAAATTCAAAAGTCGTCTTCAGAATTGACGTAAGGCTAAAAATACATAAGATGGCCGCAGAGAAGGTGGAAGTATGGTGGGCCACGGCCAACTTTGACACACCAGTAGAGAGCCTTGCCAACATTGACAGCATGAAACGGGTGGTCGTCGCAGAATTCAGGGCGGTCACACACGCGTCACGCAAGCTGTTGACATATTGATGGCATCCAACTCTGACAAAACCATACTGACCGAAGCCGCGTGTGCTTGCGCTCCCCAATCCACATGCTCCTGAAGTCAGGGCTACCAACGCGCAGTCCCCAGAGGACTATATCGCTTCAAATTTGGGACTACTTTTGGGGAGAGACGAACCGCTCCGCAATCAACTTCTGCGGCTCTTCTGCGATTGATTCTTTCGCACTGGCGGCGTGGGTCTTCGGACCGCGATGGGCGGAGTAGCACCAAACGGCTCTCCGAACTTCTCTTCACCCAGCGGAGCACAGCTGCTAGCGCTGGCGGAGCATTCAGGTGACATTTGTTTGGTCGACCAAAGGCAATGGGACACCTTTCAAGCGAATCGGGCCGTTGGTACTTGGCACTGTCGAAATCACCGAACTGGCTGTTGAACAGTCAGAACTTGCGCGGTGTGCCATCTGGCACAGACTTTCCTGGCTTTTCGTCCGCTGGACAAGCTCTTGGCGGGGCCTTGAGAGTTGCCATGCTCTCTCTATCTCAAGCTCCCATTCATATTCTAAACTACTCGCACAAGGTATGTCGCGTCATGCCAGTCAAATCGACGGGAACTCATTCATTCCCAGCCACTGTCTTAGACAGTGTCTAGATGATCACGTCAAGCTGTACTCGCTTGATCCCAGCCCACCATGACGCATATAAGATAGCGCCTGTGCGGGACAACATCCTTTCCTCCTTCTCGCTGGGTCGCTCTCTCGGTTCTTATTCCCTTCGTTTTTCACTTGCAACGGCAGAGCCATGTTTCCTTTACCCTTTCTCCTCACGCTCCTTCCTTCTGCCCTCGCCGCCCCCATATCTATCTTCGGCTTCCAAATTGGAGCCGGCAAGCAAGGCACGGCCGCTCCCGCGCCAATATCGCTGGCCACGGTAAACGCTACACTCCTCCGACCGGCCCAGTTTGCACGCGCAGCATACTGTCCAAGCGCTTCAATCACGTCGTGGACTTGTGGATTACCTTGTCAGCAACTGAAAGGCGTCAAATTTTTGCAGTCCGGGGGCGGTGCGTGTGTCTTTATAGTGTCTTGCGTCAACTGACAAGTTCTGTGTGTAGACCAAGGCGCTGTACCGTTTTGTATGTCCCAACCGGCGCCCTAAACTGTATTCTCGCATTCTTAAATCGGGTAGATTTTATCGCACACGACACCGTGGAGAACACGCTCGTCGTTGCTCACGAAGGCACGGACCCATCCAAATTGTAAGCTTGTCGACCAGAGATTGCTTCGCGCTGATAACTTGCTCGCAGTCTTTCTCTTCTGAATGACGCCGAGTTTGCACTCACGGCTATCGACACGAAGCGCATACCAAATGCGGCAGGCAGTATGTCAACTTCCATTCGCGTTGCGCTTTCAAACCTGTCGTTTAGAGGGTATCAAGGTCCACGATGGCTTCCAAAACACCTTCCAGCGGACGGCAGACGGGCTGTTGGCGGGCGTCCAGAAGAACTTGGCGAGTACCGGGGTCCAAAAGGTGGTCGTAACCGGGCACAGTCTGGGTGTGTAGCCACTGTTTACTACACAAAGCTGGGAGCTCACCGAGGACTAGGCGCCGCAATTGCGACGATGACTGCAGCGATGCTCCGTGCCCAGCTCCCTTCCAATATTCAAGTTGCGACGACGACATTCGGGATGCCACGCGGCGGGAACCAGGCGTGGGCCGACTACTTGGACTCAACTGTAAGCATTATCGTCCCCCAACGCTATCGTACTGAGGGATTTTAGCTGGGAGTAACCTTCGTCACGAACCAGCACGACCCCGTCCCCATCGTCCCGCCCCTGTTGTTCGGCTTCAAGCACCCGAGTGGAGAGGTCCACATCGTAGACAGCACACAGCAGAACATCGTGTCATGTCCGGGCCAGGACAACAAGCAGTGCATCTCCGCAAATTCGCTGTTGAAGCCATCAATTTCGAATCATCTTGGTCAGTGCAGCTCTTTGTCGACGCGTTGGCTGAATATAATGATACATATATATAGGTCCATATTTCAACAACCTCTCGTTTGGTGGCGCCCAGTGTTCATGAATGCACTTCCATTCGTTTGTACTGAATATTTACCTACCCATACCCATCCGCGTATTCTTGCAATGATACCATTTGACCCGTTCCCATAGCACGCCTGAGTGGTAGATTCCAAGTGCAAACTCGAACGCTTGTTCAGCTCTTTTCAACCCCCCCTACCTCAGCCCCACGAGGAATGGCAAAATAAACATTCCAATTGGGGGGGCCGGGCAGCCATCGCTGCTATGCCCAAACACCACTTTGAGAAGCCGCACTCAATCTGCTAGTAGACACATAGAATTATGTAGAGCTAGTACTACTAGTACAGCACTCAATTCAATACCTCAAGCAAATGAAATCGAGCGACAAGTCGCGCCGCCGTTGTCCGCACAGCCGACCACAGTCGCAGAGCCATCCAAGCGACTATAAAGACCAGGCCACAGAGAGGAGATCGGCAGCACTGTCGTCTTCTGACCCCAGGCCAACGAAGAGTCGGAGGTAAGGATCTTCATTGAAGCCCCTTGTGGCCAAGCGCTGCTCCCCGAATGCTCCTCGTCGGTCATGAACGATGCGACCAGGATCCCCGCAGACGTCGTCACGATTTGAGGGGCGCCGGCTAAAAGCGTTGAGTGATATTCGCAAACTGAAAACTACGCGGAACACACCGTTGTGGCCAGCTGGCGCATAGACCTGTGTTCTCCCCGAGAATGAGGCTCCGTCGTTGCTGCTGACGACAGACTTGACGGTGAACAGCGGTGCTGTCCCTTCCGTCGTCTCGAATATGCACAAAACCCGCGCGGAGCCGCCTGAGGCGGTTAAATCCGTGCAGCCAGGCATTCCATCCCGCCCAGTGGTGCCCCCACCAGCAACCGTCGTCGCAGCAGACCAGGTCGCCCCGTTGTTCGTGGATGACCGCATGAGGATGTCCTGGTCGGAAGCGCTGTTTTCGGCAGCGTAGTAGACTTGAATTGCCCCGCTCTTTGAAACGCGGATGAATGGTTCCTACAACATAGTTCAGAGTAGGTCTCTGGAGCAAATGCGCATGCCACGCACCCAAAGCCCGTTATTAGCAGTTGTGGGCGTCCTCTGGTCCACCTGCGACAAGAATGCCCACGTCTTGCCGTTGTCGTGCGAGATGCACGCGGTTATCTGGGGAAAATGAGCTCGATGGTTAGGAAAACACGAGTATAACTCACCCGATAGAAAGTGTAAGCCCCTGCCGCATTCTTGTCGTGGTTTCTGAACGTCGCAAGCACGTCGCCGTTAGGCAGCTGCTTCAAATGCATGTTGTCCAAGTCCCCGGTCCCCGTCGCAACTGTGCCCCACGCCGCGAATGTCCTCGCCCCGTCGGTGGAGCGGGTAACGGTCAGGATGTGTGTGGACCCGCTGAAGGCCGTTACCGCGCCCAAAACGCTGCCATCTGCCAGTTGTGCGAGGCGCGGATAAGTGCCGCCGCCGTTGGGGTTGATGGAGATACGGGTGGGGTCGACAGTGGGAGCGAGACCGTTTGCGCGTGGTCTGAGGGCTGTCACCAATGCGGCGAAGATTAAGGGAAAGGGCTTCATGGAGAATCAGAGCGGTATCGATAGCGAGGGTACATATATCATATCATACCTTTGGACCCAGCTGATTCTGCCTATGACCTTAAGATGGTTCTTCGGTTGCGACGGGAGGTTTATCATGAACTGGATGGCTTGCGACCAATGGGAGCGACGATATAGGTATGGCAGAGCGCTTCTGAGAGCATTTGAGGCAGTCAGATGAGTTGGGAGGAAAAGCTGTGTGATCACGAGTTTAGGCGATGACACCATTGAGCGCTTGGACTAGAGCACCAATATATCCTCCCTAAGATTCAGACATGCGCCGTTGAACGAGCTCAAAAAAAGCAATGCGAAAAATCTTTACACTCGACATCGTACTCAGTATGAGTACATGGGAAAGGGAAGACTGTACTGGAAATGCAGGGAAAATAACTGTGAAGAGCCTCCGAGAGTGAAATAAATGTGGAGAGAGGTGAATGATAAGTACAAAAGATGTGTGTAAGTACGAGCGCAGGTATGGAAGGATCGAATGAAACGAGGACATGAAAATGTCCGCAGACAGAAGTGCCAATGGTCCATATGCTTCTCCGCCGTCGAAAATCTTCCTACCCAGATTTAACAGCACTCAATTTGCTGAGCCTTTGAGATTCTTCGCGTGTAAACTTGTCCGTGGAGTCTGCAGATCACTTGTAGCGCAAATGTGCCTAAAACAACCGCGGAGGACGAACGCGGGGCCCCACGCGTGTACGCTAAAGTCCAAAAGCACAAGGGTGCATGCACAAGAATGTGGAGATACAGAGTTAGGAGTGGTCGTGACTCGCAGGATGGATGCAAAGTCGATTGCATTGTGAATGTGGTTTTGTCAAAAATGGTGTCAATGAGGGCCTTCTCCTTCCTCGCAGCGCCTGGAAAGAATTGGAAGTGTCTATTGGCATGTGGTGTACCATGAGATATGGTCGGTAGAAGCGTAGGAAGTGCATGGGCAGAGCTGCAAATCGTATGTGGGCGGCGTGACGGTGACAAATGTGACCTTCGAAGAGGCGAAAAACTTCAAAGTGTCGTAGAAGCAGGGACTGACTCCGCAAACAAGCCGGAGCAGCAGGAGCTGGTGCCTGCACAGATGTGGAGAGATGAGATTATGTCGGGGAAGGAGTATGGCATTTGGCGGGGTTGTGCATGGTCATTTGGCGAAAATGGGCGAGAATGGCCAAGTGATCCAGGGCTTCTAGCGCAGCGCGTTCCAACGAAGACAGGCGCAAGAGTGTCGACGGGGGGAGTATATAGCAAGTATATAGGATGATTGCCGGGCAGACCTGCCCATGCTGGGAGACTGCTGCTGCAAGGCGGCTATGGCGCTAGCGCTTTCCAGCCTACCTGGAATCAAAGCAAGTAAGTCTACTACTGGGTTACGATAAGGACAAGAAGACGCACAAATCACAGATTTTCTTCAGTCATACCTGCCTCTAGCTTGGTTGTCGTGGGACCTGCAAGCGCTTCCGAGCAGCATAAGGCTCGCGCAAGCTGATGGAACAAATGCTTTCTTCCCGTTGTTGTGATTACATGGCGATTCGACGAGCACCTGCAGAGAGAAAAGGTTAACAGAAGAGAGAGGAAGACGAAATCGTGCTTTTGCGCACCAAGGAGCAATTCGCTACGCCGCCGCGTCGCCACGGGTCCTTCTCCTTTGGAAGGTTGTGAATGGTAGGTCGAGGCAGGAGTGCCATGCGGCATCAGCCAGAAACAGAGTCTGCTGCATCAAAACAAATTCAGCAGAACCTCGTCTGGCAGGGCGGAAAACGCACCTAGCTGCTCTTGTGTACGACTAAGGATGCGGGTAGGAGGATGCGAGAGGTTCTCGGGGCGGGGAGGGCGACGTGGCCATCTGTGGTGGTGGAGAGAGGAGGGGGAATGAATACCTATCACGTGTCGATCTTCCGATACTCCCTCTTTGCTCTCGGTCCAACGAATGCCCTACTCGAACAATGAATGCACTCATTACCAGCTTTACGCACCGATCTTCTTCCTAACGGTGATGTCCCGAATGTATAGTCGGCCCACATCTGAAGCGCCGAAAACCCAGGCCGCGGGGCACTGCCAGTGCGACAGCTTTTAGTGCCATGGTTCTCCTTCTTACCCCCACCTCTACTCCCTCAGATAGCAACTTGCAGGCCGCTCCGCTCGGCGACCGGAACGGCCCGGAAAACAAGATAGGCTCTGGAGGTGGTTTTACGGACAGGCAATATCTAGCTGCACACTTCTTGGCTCGAGGTGCGTATGCAATTTGAGTAGCACTACTCACTAGTCACTACTAAGTATCAAGATAGCTCACTGAAGTTCATGCTTACACAACATTTCCTTGACTCACGGCTTCTTCATTGCCATGCCATCCAATCGCTATAATCCACAAGCAGCTGTTGAAGCAAGGCGTTGTCGACGCCATTCGGGTGATTCCGTAATCAGGACAAGAGCGAGAGTGATATGTTTTCGTAGGAAATCGCACTGTGTCAATGACCGTGGTTTATCCTGCAATGCATTGCCGTCGCGCTTAACATCTCCCGCCTAGCGAACTTGAGGTTGCAACGCCGCTCGCATTCACTGACATTAACGCCCTCGTGTGGCTTCTTTGGCTTACGCCGTTGATGTGGAGAGTTGAGTCATTCTACTGGTACCGACAGTGCTTGAGCTCTGTTATTTTCAGCTAGTCTATGACTTCGGCAGACTCGGAGCGGCGCGGCGTTGATCATCGGATGTCAGAAGCGAAGAAGTTGGTCATTGGTTGGCACTCTCATCCTCACCATTCCGCCAATGTCCACTTCTGTTGACTCCCATACGACCGTCCTCATTGTTGGTGCCGGCCCCACCGGTCTAACGTTGGCTCTTTCCCTTCTTCAACATGGCGTCAAAGTCCGACTAATCGATTTGACATTGAGTCCACATGAAGCGGCTCGTGGGACTGCGATCATGGTGAGTCGTTCATTATTTCCTGGCCGAGGCTTATGCAATGCTAGCCTCGGACTCAAGAAGCTCTCGCCATCCTTGGGGTCATGAACGACGTCAAGGAAATCGCCACTGGCCCCCTACAGATGGCAATTTACGCGCCGGACGGAAAGACGATCCTGAAGGCATTCGACTGGTCTCAAAGTGCCCCGGAAAGTCCGACGATCCCCTTTGTACGCTCCCAGCACGCTTTATTACACGCTCTGACTCTAACTCGATCGTTAGCGTCAAACTGCCTCTATTAGTCAACACGAACTGGAGAAAATCCTCCGCCACCATCTGAATGGACGAGGTTGCAAAGTAGCAATGGGCCTCAAACTTATCGGTATCGCGCAGAATGACCAAGCTGTCACAGCAACAGTCCAGATCGACGAGAAAACGGTGGATATCAAGTGCGATTTCCTTGTCGCGGCTGATGGGGCGAAAGGTGGGCTCTTTATATGATGGCACTCGCATTTCGAAGCTCACTTCATTTTTAGGAGTGTCCCGCCGACTGCTTGATGTATCATTCCTCGGCGAGACAAAAGAAGACGCACGGATCTGGGCCGCCAATGTTCAAGTACCGGGATTCGATCGCCAGGCGCGTCGCCTTCCTATTCACCTGTAGTTTGCCAGTGACCATGGATTCGACAGTACTGGCACCGGTGGGGGGATTTCGCAAGCGCCGCGTAGGAAACCCGCACTCGCTTGTCACGCGCTCACCTGTGGTATAGCACCTCTCTCAAGCCTATTTATCCGGAACCTTGGTTCCAAATGCTGACGCTTGGTCCCCAACTACCGAAGGAAATCCCGACTGATCTCCCCCAAACTCAAGCGCTATTCAACTCGATTTCGAAGCGTAGCGACCTGGTACTCACCGATGTGAGTTGGGTAACTGAGTGGAAGTAAGCCGTGCGCATAGCGTATTGAATTCAAGGATGACACTTACCTAGGGCGAATATTCGCATGACTGACAAGTTTTCCGTTGGACGTGTTTTCCTAGCTGGTGGTACGATGCTATGGCGATACTTATATCTATCTGCTTGATGCTTTAGGGCCTGCTCGGTGTCACCGGGATCGATCCCGTAGCCAATCTGGCAACGGGCTCGGCTAGCCCTAGCCAGTCTCGGTATGGTATCCATGCCATCAACAGGCATGACAACGGGGCCGGAGGTTGGCAGAGATGCGTCAAATAAGATTAGTCATGTATTTAAGGTAGATCAAAAGACATATCTCGTCCTCCCCTCCTCGTTTCGACGCGTTTTTTGACTGGGAATCGGCGCCATGCCCTCCGGCCCTTCCCGTGACGCGTCCAGAGCCTTCCGTGACGCATCCAATGCCTCGCAACAGGCTATACTTGCCCAACAGAGAGCACAAAAGAAGAAAGCACTAGCACAGCGTCAACGGCACATTGCGCTGGTGTCGCTTGTGTGTATGGTTGCAGCATTCACTGTCTCTTTTGGCATGAATCTCACTGATCCCATCCCTCTCAACACCTCTGCTCTTACTGGTCAGGTCTGGGTGGATGAGCTCCTTGTTGGCAGTGATATCCGGTTCTATCGCCAGCTAGGGATGGCCAAGCACGTCTTCCTTCGACTATTATTCGAACTCCAAATGCATTCCGGGCTAACCAATTCGAAGCATGTCACGGCCACGGAGAAGCTTGCAACATTCCTTTACTTCGCCCGGATCGGCTGCAGCTCACGTGTCCTCCAGGAGCGTTTTCAAAGGAGTGGGGAAACTATCAGCAAATCCATCCATACCATCCTTAACTGCTTGACTGGGTCTTTCTACACAAAGCATATCCATCTGCCACCAAATAACACTCCACCAGAAGTCAAAGCGACACGGAAATTCTACCCATACTTCCGTGAATGCCGTGGCGCAATCGACGGCTCGCACTTCTCTGCCTGGGTACCTGCTACCGCAATGCCACGGTATCGTAATCGCAAGGGGTTTATCGGGCAGAATATTCTGGCAGCCTGCAATTTTGCTCTGATTTTTGTCTATGTGCTTACAGGCTGGGAAGGGAGTGCATCAGACTCGCACATCTTCAATTATGCGCGCGAGCATGATTTTGCTGTTCCACTGGGCAAGTTCTACCTTGCAGATGCTGGGTTTCCGCTCTGCGACGTTTTGATGACCCCATACCGGAATATCCGATACCACCTCAAGGAATGGGGCAATGTCAACCAGCGCCCTCGGAACTACAAGGAGCTATTCAATCTACGTCATGCTCAGCTTCGGAACGCAGTCGAGCGGATATTTGGTATTCTCAAACGTCGCTGGAATATCTTTACGGGTGGTGCTCCAGAGTACTCGGTCGAGACACAGGCTCAACTAATCTCAGCCATCTGTGCACTTCATAATTTTATTCGGGTCTACGATGGTGAAGATGATGGTTTGGAGCCCAACGACACCAATGAAACCCCAAGTATCTCATCCATCACCACCCCGACACGGCGAGAAAGCTCCTTGCAAGATCTTATCGCTAATCCAGCAGAGCCTATTTCAGCTGAGGAGCTAGGGTGGTCAATCAGCCCAGAGGAACGTGCTCGAGCATCAGCCCGGCGTGACGCGATTGCGCAGAATATAGACGTCGCACACTGTCACTCTCCAGCAGGCGGGCAGGGGACCAATACGGCCATGCAAGATGCGGTCAGTCGTGGTCATTGCTTGAAGTCTTGCTTAAAGTTTTGTAGTTCAATCTGGCTTGGAAATTAGCACTCGTTGTGAAAGGAAAGGTGGGACCGGATATTTTGAAGTCATACGAAACAGAAAGAATGCCGGTAGTAGCGGAGATGCTGGCCCTTTCTAACGAACTCCATACGCGCGCGTTCTCACACATTCCATCCACGGCCTTCCCCTCTGCACCTCCCACCGAGGCACTCGACCCCATGTTGCGTTCCGTCAAGCTTCTTCAACTTGGAGTCAACTACCGATGGAGTCCTCTTCTTCGAGATGAGCGCAACGCTAGTGTTGCGGTTAAATCGCTGGAGCCGGTGCCGCAGAATCCATATGGACTAGCTGGGGACAACAGACTAGCTGTTGGGGACCGAGCACCATTTTTTGGCAATGGAGATGTTAGTCTCTTTTCACTCCTGCATGATTTTCCTTCCCATCTGGTACTCTATTTCCCTCCGTCTGGCTCTGTCCTCAATATTGCAACATTGGACGCCCTGCGCTCCCTCGGCGATGACCTGTTTTCCATTACGGTCGTGTCCAAGGATGCCATGGACGGATCGGACCAGAACGTCCACTTCTACCATGACCCAGAAGGATCGGTGCTTGCTGCATACGAAGTCACTCTCGACCGCGACACGTTCATTATCATCCGTCCAGATGGTGTCCTCGGAGCTTACGTGTTCAGTGTTTCTGGCGTGTGTAGTTACTTGAACTTGCTTGGTGTCAGTTGCTCAGAGTAATAAAATGTGTTATTTTCGGCAAAAAAGCAAACTTAAGCATTGACAGTCTGATCAATCGTCAGTCATGCACACTAAATAGACGACTCATCACCTTTTGAGCCCGCTTGGGAATAAAAGTCCACCCTGACAAAGATGCAGCTGTCATACATGCGTGCTCGACTTTGGAAGGGTGGATTCTCGCGAGCGAGAGGGTCTCAATTAGAACTGTTCGATTGACAATAAGTACTTCCAGCAGCGGCTCTGAGTCGGATCGCAGGCCTTGGAAACCAATCCAGATTCCAAAAAGTAACACCACACCCAATACATATCGATAAGTGAGAACAACAAACTAAATCAGGGCGGCGCTGCTTCGCCCATACGCATCCAAAGCCCTCCCTGAATTTGCTCGTCACTCTAAGATAGCACAAGAAACATAGACCCACCTTGACGTATAATGTCAAATGGCTCCTCGGCCTGATCTTCTCCTTCGCTTTCCACCCATACCGATCCTTCTCCGGGTCCTTCCATTCAGGCGGCGGACGGCCAAAGGGCGGTTGCGCCTCTGGGTCGAGGGATAAGCTGGAAAAAGTCTGCAACAGACGAACAAGAAAGAACGACGCCTCATGGTACGCGAACTATCGGTCGTCAGCCGAGACCTACCCACGAGCGGGAAACGCACTTGTTGTCCCAGACAAATTCGGGGCCCAGCATTGAACGGCAGGAAGATGAATGGGTTCGGCGTCACTACCACAGTTAACGATGGGCAAGCGAAGGTGATAACACTCACGGTACTTCCCCAATCTCTCATCCAAGAACCGCTCTGGGTCGAATTCCACCGCATCTGGTCCCCAGAGGTCTGTCCGGCGATGCATCACAAATGTCGAATACGGCGTCCTAATCCCCACGTTAGCACAAAACAACGTCATTACAGAACACAGACCTCATTCCAGCTGGAACATATATTGGCGTTCCACCATCGCTTGGTCGGAAAACGGTAGGTTGGGAAGAATACCGCATGTTGAATGGCCTATGTCTCGCTCAGTACTGGCAAAGTAGTGAGAAAGACAGCTTACACAGGGGAGTATAGTCTGAGGGTTTCTGGACATAAGTCAGGCACAAATATCGGGAAAAGCAAATATACCATTTAAAACAGCCCGCATGTACCTCATGTCTCTAAAGTCCTCCAACGTCGGTGCCCGCGTTGGGCCAACCTGACGCAAAATCTCTCCGCGCAGCTTGGTTAGGACATCTTGGTGTTCTGCGAGCATATAGGCAGTGAATGTGAGCAGACACGCAGTCTAAACGCGTCAAAATCGATAGAATATAGGGAATGAAAGTCATACGGTGTCGCGTCCGGCGGCTGTTATATTGAGAATTTCATCGCGTAGAATTGTGTAGTCTACTAAGCGTTAGCAACTGACTGGACGAATACGGATAACGTACCTTCTGTATAATTGACCAAATGGTCCAGCATACTCTCGCCTTCTTCGACTTCTCTCTCCACAATTTCCCCCTCCACTTTTTCGAGCGTGTCATTTAGTCCTTTCGCCCGCTTCCGCTCGATCGCCTTTTTCAGAATTGGATCCAAGAATCGCCGTACCACCCCCAAGGGCTGCTCAAGCTTGTCTTTCCAAAACTCGCCCAACGGCCAGTGTGGCCCCAATCGTACACGCAAGGCGGTCACCAGCTGGGCTTCTTGGAACGCCGTTGAGAACGAGGCTTCGTGTGTCGAAGCCGCCGCGGATGCTTTGGCTGGCTGCATATGGTGTGGATATACCAGTCCCTCGTCGAGACTTCGCACATCTCGCCCAAACAGAAACGTTGTAGCCGTGTCCATCGTGAATTTGCCCACCATGTCTTGAAAGTCCACCGGGTACCCCTCATTCAGTCGTTTCTTGCAAAGTGCCAAAGCGTGGAGGGCATGCTCGTCGAAGAGCGCGAAATCGCTGATTCGGGCGCGGTTGAAGAACGGACGCGTCATTTGTCGGTGGAAGCGCCACATATCGCCTGTGGTTTCGTCAGAACATGTCAACCGCAAGGCAAGATTGCGCACCGTCAGCTGCAAAGACTCCAGTCCCAAGTAGCGGCTCCATGATTCCACGGAACTCGGCGCCTTTCTCGAAGCTGTTGAAGTCTGTGGCGAGAATGGCCTTGATGTTCTCCGGATCAGAGGTGTATAGCTACGGATCTGGTTTAGCGAGATGATTCAAGTAGGCAACAACGCACTTGGTCTTGGAAGAACAGAGCAGAGGTGAAGGTGTTTCCGATGGTATTGGAGATAGTAACAATGCCCTCGCCTTAAAAGAAGAGTGAGCGAAAGGATGGACTTGAAGTGGGCAACACACCTGGGTACATGTCCTGGATGTTGATGAATAGGACCTTCAGTCCGCCCCACATTCCAGGTGCAACTGGGGCAAGCACCGCTCCCACTTTCGCAGCCTCTCTCCTCAGCCGCCATTGCCTGATCTCCACCGAAAGCAACAGCGTGATAGGTCCACTGAGAAGACAAGCGAGTGTCGTTGCCCAAGATGGGATGGACACGGCCCATATGTTTGTGGCGAGAGCTTTTGCGGCGTAGGTAGCAAGCGCTGGCGATACTGCGACGGGGAGGAGGCGTCCAAGGTATACCAGCCCAGGCGGAATCGACATGGTCGGGGGAGAGACAGCGAGCACGTCATCGTGATCACGTCATCCCTTCTTCCACAAGCAGCCATCTTGTTCCTTCGAAATGGAAGAGTACAAGGAGCATAACGACCTTGTACTCGCTGCTGAGAGGGTCAGACACGGCCTTCTTAAGCCCAACTGGCCTATTCAGTCTCGATGCCACACCTATGCCCAGCATCTTCGACCCCACTCCTCAAGAACATATCGAGGCATACTCTGCCCTTCTGGATCAACAAACCGCCACACATGTATGGAAACCTGCGCTAGATGCACCGCCTGCGTGCGTTATTTGTTTCTACTTTTGTGCAGCCTGACCCCGCCAAACAGGCACGTCAAAGTCCAGTTCTTTCTTCTCCGGTACAAAGTGAGCCACAATCTCCGACCCGACATTCAAGCCATAATACCGCTCGAATCCTCGGGCTCGCTGTCTCTGTTTAATGTTATGAAGATGTGGGGTTTGGAAACCTGTGTAGTATGTTATCGTCACCAACCATATGCTTCTCTAAACATTACCAGGTCATTGACTCCGACCGCATGCGCCTGGGCTTCTCCTCTGACCCAAATTACTTGTCCGCTGCGACAGTCAAGATCCTCATCGACCGTTATGGCTGCATCAAGCTTATTGGTGTGTTGTCGTCGAGTACAGCCATTATTCTCTATCTCATCTCCCCCTAGAGCCATATGTCTCCGCATCTACCCTCATCACCCGGCATACTCGCCAAATCCTAGTTTCCCTCGGTCTCATCTCTCAATCTTACCTCATATTGGCCAGCAACGGCGTCAAAAATGACTTCCGTGACATCCACGGTGTCCACCTTAAAGCTAAAGCGGCCGTCATGAAATATACCAAGGTCGCGTACGGATGGATTTCCGACAAGTCCCACAAAATTTACGCATCCTGCGCCCGTGTCGTCGTGCCAGCCAGTCTAGCCGCCTGGCCGTATGTCGTCATTGGATTCTTCTACATCCTGCCCATTATCCGCTTTCTCCCGCTGGTCTTGTTCGCCGCCTTACTCATCGCCACGCGGACGTCAAATACGATGCGCTCGTTCCTCAAACTCCGCGCAAAAGATTTCGAGCATGGGCCCTCGCTGTGGGAGGACCTCGCGGTGTTTTTTACTCTCGCTTCATTAGTGTTTGTGGTGTCGCTGTTATACGGCCCAAAACAGTGGCGCCAATGGGTCGCCAATTTGGCAGAGGAGGAGGAAGATGATGAAGATGACGGCTCAGATGAGGAAGAATGATTGACCGCCTGTAAGCTATATGACTATGCTTTGATATGTGCTGTACGCAACTCTACTAGTATGATGTATGAATTTCCATTGTTTCGCAATCCCTACAAACGTCCAATTGTAGCAAACATGACCGTTCAAGAGAGGTGGAATTCTACGATTTTGTTGGCTTGCTTCCTTTATCATATCTCATTCAACGTTTTGCAAAGGCGTCAGAATCAATGGTAGCCCAGAGCCCTTCTCCTTCTCCGCTAAAACTGAAGGGCGTTGCATCACTCCCGCAGTCACAGTAACAATGCCCCCATCTGGCACTGCGGGACTAATTTCGAACGCGCGCACGAGGGTGAAGAGTAGGACCTTGAGCCTGATGCATATAGTTGATCAAGTCGCCCGTTGCATCAGTACGCTTGAACACTCACTCGGCAATTGAAAACCGGAAACCGATGCAGTTGTGGGGGCCAGCTAAGAAGGTGAACAAATTGCCCCATACACCAGGGACACCGCTGACGGCCTCCGGGATATTATCCCATCGGTCTGGACTGTGATTCGCGTGGATTAGTAACTTTCTTGACTAGGAAAACTGCAGTTATACCGAAACTCAAGTGCATCTTCGCCCCACGTCTCCTTCGCTGTGTTGATTGCCCAAATCGGAAGATGAATCATCTGGCCTTTACGTATCCTTTCAATTTGTTTATTACCCACAAAAGAATAGAAAACTTGAAACATAGCACACTCACGGCAAACTCGTATGTTCTCTCCCCTTGCTATCGATTATGGGCTTGGCTAATGGCAACACGTCGTCTGCCATGGCCTTGCGTTGCATGAACACAACAGGGGCATGAAGACGGAGTGTCTCGCGCAGAAATTTGTCGAGATAAGGTAGCGCGCCGAGCTCGTCCAATGTCGGGTTGTCCGTCTCAAGTTGGAGCAATTCCTCGCGGAGTTTGTCTTGAATCGGTTTATTCATCGATAATGCATGTAGGGCCCAGGCGGTCGCAGCACTGGTAACAGGTTTCGTCTGTGTTAAGTCAAGTCTCAACTAACCCTGAGGACACATACCTGGTAGTCTCATGGCCAGCAACAAAGAAAGCGGGGATTTCTAGTAATATATAATCCGGCTGAGAAACGACGTATCAGGTTTGCTCACGGGAAATGATTTCGCTTTCGTTCATCCTCTGACTCTCCGGCAGCCCTGGGGACATGTTCGCTTTGAGCAAGATAGACAGCAAGTCCCTTCGTGTCCCAAGCGACTTCACCTGGTCTTCGGCAATAATATTCGCCTTGCTGCGTTGGACAATTTGACTGCCAATCTCGTCCATCTTTTGGCGTGCCGATAACACGACCTGGCGTCCGGGAAGAGGCTGTCAGGCAAAATTTAATCTAAGTCGTAGCCAGATGTGGTCGGAGAACACATACCAGTAGTTTGAGAATAGGGATGTGCCCTTGAGCGAGTCGGATAGCTTGGAAGAGATTTGACTTTGGCGAGTGGAAGAGATCCGTGAACGCTTGATTGAGCTCGTTCGTGCCGCCTTCTTGCTCTAATGCATTAAATTCATAGCCAAAACCTTCGATTGTCAGTGTGATTTCCAAGTGGTAAAGTGCGCAATACCAGCGCGACCGATCACATCCAGTGTCATCTTCCGCAGCCCTGAAAACACTTCCACTTGGTTGTTGCCACCCTGTTGACGAATTTGCTCTGTCCATATATCGCGCAACTACAACTCTACTGAATTCATCGGGGATCAATATTTGGGAAGTCGCACACCTGGATAGCCTTCTCTGCAAATATTTCGGTCACAGCGCGAATTTGAGGGACACCAAACGCAGGATTCTAATATCTCGCTAAGTTCATCTGAAGCTTCGTTTCCGGGACATACCAGGACGCGACGTTGACGCTTATGCTGGTCCAGCTCTGCAAACAGAATGCCTGTGTTTTATATCAGGGCCTATTGATAATCGCGCGGACGAGAACCCAAGAGTGAGAAGGAACAATACCTTCACCCATCATGCGACGGGAAGCGTCGCGATTTGCTCCAGGTCGTTGATAGATATCGGCGTGCGAGACAATGTGGCTGACAGCTTTGAGGTCAGAAGTATGCAGCTCCCCAATCTAACAGAGAGTCAGTGCTTCCCGGAGGAATGATAAGTACGGGTGCTTACGCTAAATAAGCCATGGAAGAGAAAGTTGTTCCCGTAGTCTTTGCGCCATTCACTCGAAAGTTTGGGGTCTTCCTGGGGTATCGTCACTGGCGTAACGGTAGTAGTGATAGTAAGACTAACCGCCATCTGCCGAAAATTGCCCAAGAGATAATTGGGAATGGGCGGACTAGGGAGGATCCCACGTAAAGGTGAGGTTAAATTTGAAAGCAATATCTGCAGCGCATGGAAGACAATGTAGGCAGTCAGCGTCCCCACAATTGGCAGGAGAATCTGGGCAATCATGGTGAGAAAGCTGGCAACTATCGACGTGTGCCAGCAGGCGCTCTTGTACTTACCCTGGCCCCCATTTGAAGACGTCCAGCGTGTCATCTTCCGCGAGCAAGTAAGCTCTTCAGTGTGAGCAACGAAGGAAAGGCATTGAAAAGTCTCCAGTCGGACCGACGAAGTTGTGGTCCGTCTCGGCAGAACCGCGCGTAAGGACAATAGTGGTCAGTGTCGCTAGACAAATCGACCGCTGGGTGCGGTCTCACACGATGCCATCGGAGATATACGTTGCTTGCCACTCGTCAGCAAAACACCCGATAATCGATGATTCGTTGGCGACCTGGGCTGCTGTCACTTGCTGACCATAGCTTGAGAGCGTCAATGTGCCGAAAGGCTGACAGAACTTGCTGGGGAGAGGACATGGAGAAGCAGGTCTGTTATGTCGGGGTTCCCTTGTCAAACGGTGTTGGAAACAATAGAGTCGAATTGACCAAGATATGCAGACTGAGGTATAGTAATGTCCAAAAGTCTTCATTGAAATCAGTATCCGGGCTGATTGCGCACAGTCAGCGTATGCGCCGCGGAGTCTAGAGACACCGTTCGCGACAGTTCATTTGTGGTCGTGGTAGTTGGATGGGGTGGAGAAAGGAGACGACCAGTTTTGGCCCGAAAAGGAAGTGCACATCTTTGCTCCGCTCATCTCATTCCCGCCCCGCCATTGCCCCTCATGGTCCACCGCAACGCATAACTACCATTGGCGCATAGACTCAGCCTGCCACCGGTACGCTTGCGCCTCGACATCAGCGAACTTTTGTGGAGTGAGAATAGGACGGAACCACAAGAAGGTGGGTGGGGCTTATAAGCACTTTCAGCTACTTTGGAAGCGAATGTGGGCGGAGACACGGACCTGTCGCGAAACTACTCGCAGTCTTCAAGCTTTAAATTGCTACAATGATTTTCTTCGACCAGACCCCCAAACATGGTTGGCCACGAAGACCACAAGGTAAAGCCGTGCCGGCGCCTCCCTGCGTACGGTTCCGATGACTACTTCGGAGTACCGTTGTAAATGGCGGCCGGCGCCATAGATGGAGCGCAGAGTAGAGAGGAAAAGGAAAAGCAGTAACAGCACTGTCACACATCCGTTTCTTGTCTTGGGCGACAATGGGCGGTCACCGGTCAACGCTGGCATAGCGGGACGCAACATCTTCCATGACTTCATTCGAAATGACTATCCGCACTCTTCGGTGCCTTTCGCAATTGCCTAATACCCGAGAACTGCAACCCAATGCCCACTATTGTCAATGTGGCACCGCCCACATGCGGGTCAGCATCATCCAGAACTTGACTGTTAGCTCGGAACTAGCTGCCACCGGTGGGCCGCCACAAGGCCCTAAGTACTGTTACAGGAAGTCATTAACGCGAACAAGCGCACACACTGCAGACACATCTCATGCTTCTTCTTCCCTTCATCTGGGCTGCTGTCGTCGCAAGGGTTGCTTCACAGTCGCCTGGCTCGTCATGGCGTGTTAGTGGCCTATTCTCTCTCCCAAATTGTTGCTAATGTTCACAACTATAGAAACCAAACCTCACTACCTCGCGCGAGAACAGGATTGCTCTCGCTCAAAGAGCGATCTCGCAGGCGGTCTCGCAGTTCAATGGCACCAACTCGATGTTTCCCGATCCTAGTAAGGCTTTCACTTTTGCTTTTGTTGGAACAGAGCATTAACTGTTCAGGTAATACATATGGCCTCACCGGCGCGGTCTACTCCCAACTCGCTGAATTCGACCAACTCACAACGCAGTCGAAGTACGCAGACGATCTCGGGCGATACTACTCGTCAGCGAAGACGGCGCTCGAGCAGTCCGGGACGAAGAACTTCTCAGGCTTTTATGTGGTGAGTCAACTCACTGAGCCGCTGTCCTATACCTGATTCTCTCTCTCTTTGTGTTTAGCGTCATCATCGAAGCTGTGATAATATGAAACTGACACGAACTCGCCACCATAGCTTAACTTTGGCCTGTATGTGACATCACTCTCCTTCCTATACTTCTCGAAGGCCAACATTATCGTCACAGGAATTTCGGGCACGGAGCCATCGTCGCCTACAAGGCATATAATGAACCGGTGTTTCTTGACTATGCGATCCAGTCGTGGTGGGCCGCAGTCCCGTATACCATCACGCAGGCGGAACTTAATCTGGGGGCAATGGCGTCGAAAAGCTTCGATTTGAGCCCTTCATGTCAAGGAGGTGTGCGATTCATTCGACTCACTTCATCACTATCGCTAACACCAAGAACAAGCTACTATGGCTGGTGGGGCATTCTGGGTTACTATTTCTCTTGCCAGGTTTTACTACTGCGTCTAACGCGTTATAGAGCAAGGACCTGGAAAATCCCGAGATTGTTGTTATCGCCACAGGGTGCGTTATACCATCCCTTTACAATGTTACTGCTTACGTCGATGACAGTGGTTTCTTTATGTCTGTCCTCGTTCCTCCCGCCACTCTTACGATTAACTTGCTGTAGCCTCTCCGCCTTGCTCGCCGAAGCCACGTCGAACGTGCTCTATCTCTCCGCGGCCATCGAGTCTATGTCGTTCATCCGCTCGCATCTGTACAACGCTCAAGGCCTTGTTCTGGATGGCATATCAGCTCGTGCCAACGACAGCTGCGCAATAGGCGGTGGTCTCATGTCCTACAACTCTGGTCTTATGATCGAGGGTTTGGCAGTCCTGTATTCCGTCTCGAAGAACACCTCTTACATCAATATGCAAGTATTGTTCTCGCTCCTGTTCTTAACTGACTGATTCTATTAGGCTCGATGAACTCATATCCGCATCGTTTGCAACGACGAGCTGGCAAAACAGTACCGGAATAATTCAGCCGGGCGACGGGTCGATTCCTCGCGGGTTGACAGCTGCGTACCTGCGCAATGCGACAAGTCCCTCCGTGAGACTGTCGATTGCTTCGTATCTTGCTGTCCAGGTATGTTGCTATTGATACCTTTCAAAACATTTGGGCTTACCAGACAATGTAGTATAACGCTGTTGTCGACCTCGCAAAGCAAAACGGAGGTGACGTCTATGGCGGAGACTGGCACGGGCCCGCAGGCGTTACATTCGACACATCGTCCCAAATTAATGCAATTCAAGCTTTAATCAGCTCTATTGCTCTCGATGAACCTGTCCTATCCTCGTCTCCGAGCGCGAGTAACTTTTCCTTCTTATCGTCTTCACCCACGGCCACCGCCTCTGCCCCTCCCAGCCCATCTCCTAAAGCCAAGACATCCATTGGTGGTCTTGTAGGTGGAATTATTGCTGGAGTTGCTGTTCTTGCATTGCTACTCGCTCTGCTTCTCTGTTGGAGGTGGAAACAGCGACAAAGTCGGCTTCAGATGGCCTCCCTCGTATCCCCACATCCTGTCGTTGGCATGGTCGATGCGTTTACAAGCTTTCATCCTTCCAGCCACTCAGCCAGTCAAACAGCGTCTTCCCGCTCTGCTTCTGAGTCGCGCAACCCTAAACGGGCAGACAACCTCGGTATACCTGTTCGGGGAGCTCCGTTGCGTTCTCTCAGCTCTTCGGAGTCCTGGGCAGTCCCACCACCAACCCTGATTTCTGAGACGACACGCTCAAGCTCAGGCTTGCCGCCGCTTCCTCTCAAACGACATGTACCGAATGTTGCTGTCAGCCCGACAAGGGAGGACCCAGAGGTAGCAAATGAGGAATTGCCGGAATATCGTGCCGCTTAGAACAAATTTGTGCATGGAGTTCCTGGTCTGCGCTCTCTTACCCCGTAGTAGTCGTAGATATCCGAGTGTACATTGGACATGCACGCCACAGACGGTGTTACCCATGAACAAGGCAGCTTGATATGGCAGTTGTGTAGTAAGTACTCGAGCATTCAAGTTGATGTGAATGAGAGCAGCAAGTCGGAAGATCGACACGTGATAGGCATTCATTCATTCCTCTTCCGCTCTCCACCACTACAGATGGCCACTTCGCCCTCCCCGCCCCGAAAAACTCTCGCTCCCTTTTACCTGCACCCATAGTCATACGTACGAGTAGCCAGGTGCGTTTCCGGCCTGCCAGACGAAGTTCTGCTGAATTTGTTGCGATCCAGCAGGCTCTGGTTCAGGCCAATGCTGCATAGCACTACTGCCTTGACCTACCGTTCCCAAACGTTCGAAGGAGAAGGACTGGTGGCGACGTGGCGGCGTAGGGAATCTCTCCTTGGTGCGCAAAATTACGATTTTGTCTTCCTCTCTTTTGTTAACCTTTTCTCTCCGCAGGTGCTCGCCGAATGCCCATGTAATCACGACAACGGGAGCAGGGCATTTGTTTCATCAGCTTGCGAGAGCTATATGCTGCTCGGAAGCGCTCGCAGGGCTCACGACAACCAAGCTAGAGGCATGCATGGCAGAGGGAACTGTGTGCCAGTGATTCGTGAATCGTGCGTCTTCTTATCCGTAATAGCAACCCAGTAGTAGACTTACTTTGATTCCAGGCAGGCTGGAAAGCGCCAGCGCCGCAGCAGCATTCCCCCAGCACGGCCATTGGGCAGCAAGGTTATTATGTCCGCCGGGAGCCTGAGATCATGCTATATACTCCTTACCCCGTCGACCTGGACTCTGTATGAGAGCTTGAATTTAAAGTTCAACTTGTAGTCCTTATGCTCAGCTTTTCCTTCGCGACTGCCTTCAAGGGGTATGAAAAAGAGAGGGGAATAAACACAACGATGTATCAGGTAACCTCGTCAAGATGAGGCATCTTATCTAGATCAATGCACGTGCATGCTGACCAACTTTTTATTCCTCCTTCGCGCGGCGATCTCGAATAAAGTTCTGCTCACCTGCCGGCATATGCAAGCCTCCAGTCGTTGCTTCCCTTCGATTCCCTGTCCACCAATTGCAACTTCTATGGACGCCCGCCAATGCTGTCGAGGTCCTTCCGATTAACTGGTATCGCTTACACACAGAGATGGCACCACGAAGTTGGGATCATAGCAATGGAGGGCTATTCTTGCCGTCGTTTCCATGCAGTCCAGACTGCTCACTGCACCGCGTTATAAACAGAACTTTTGAATGCCCACATGTGTCTTCGTCGGTCGTCGCCTCGGTGGTGGGTGATCGTCGGTGGTTTCCGCGGCAGGAACGCGACAAACGAGCGGTTTTCTGTGGTTGCGGTGCGCTCATGTCCGCTTTTTCATTGAGAACCACGCTGATGATCAGTAGAGCACAAACGGTCATGTCGGGTGTGGCTTTCCGTCCGCCAAGGCCCCCGCAGCTCGCTTTGCTGACTATTCTCGATGGCGAGGAAGCCGGCTGCGATACTGCGAAGCTCGCGCCTCCATATCGCTGCCCGCAGCACAGAAACTTCTTGCCAAACGCGTCAGCAGCGTTGCCAGGCGGAAAGATATTTTCGCAGGTTGCTGCCAAGCCAATTGACACAATCTGTGGGTGAATTGTCAGTGTCGGCGATGCGCTCTTTTCCCTTCTGGCAAAAGCTGAAAATAGCACGGATGTGGAGCGATGGGGCAGTCACTTGGAGCCACTTGTCGTTGAATTGGGCTTTCGCGTATGAGCAGCGCCAGATCGGCTCTTTACCAACCTCGGCGGTATCCAGCTCTGCGGATCGTGATGGCAACGGTGCGAGCTCAATAAATTTTATGTTGCCGATGTCGACTGTCATCAGCATTGAATACCGGACCGTGAGGGGGCGATCCCTCCCGTATATAAAAAACCCGTCCGCCAAGGAGATGCGCTGGCTTGGCCTTCGCTCCTCTCCCACTTTCGCTCGCTCGCTCGCTCACCGGACCTGGTGTCTCCCTCCGCATTCATTCCAACTCTATTCGCTTTCTCCCGGGTCGTTCGATACGCAAACACACAACTTTTTTCAACCTTCGTTCGTATACATAACAACTTCCGGAAATCATGAGGTTCGCGGTTCTCTCCACCCTCGTTCTCGCTGCGACGGCCTTGGCTGGTGAGTGCTTCTGCGTCTTCTTCGCTCAGCACTGAAACCCGTATATAGGCCCTTTAAATGCCCGTGCGGAGTCTAGCTCTAGCTCGTCTGTATCCTCGACTGCTGCATCTTCGAAAAACACTGGATCCGCCAACAACTCGAATAAGAACCAGAATTCGAATAACAAGAGCAACAAGAACACTGGCAACAACCAGTCGAAGAACACCAACAACAAGAACACCAACGGCAACATCGACTGCGCGAAGGTCAATGGGAAGACGCTCAGCAACACCATCGACCGCGCACAGAAGGAGCTGGCGCGCATTAACGCGTTGTAAGCCCCCTTTATCCTTCCCCTTTTCGCCTCTTGCGCTAACTGGGAGTTTTAAGCAACGGCATCAAAGACGCGAAGCCCATCTTCGAGGCGCAGTTATCGCTCCTCGACGCGCTCAAGGCTGGCACCGCGCAAGCGGGCAACCAACAGCAGCTCGCGGCCAACAACGACGCGCTGACCAAGTCGCTCGACGACGCGAAGAAGCTGGTCGGCCAAATTCAGGTTGACGAGTACGTTGCCTTACGTTTTCACGCTCTGCGGGTGCTGACTTGTCCACTAGCTCCATCTTGAAAAAGAACAACAACCAGAATAACCAGAACCAGAACCAGAACAAGAATGCCGCCGACAAGTGGGTTTTTCGTTGCGTGTGGCCGCTCGTTCTGACGACGTTTTGCAGGGCCGCTGCTGACAAGAAAGCCGCTGACAAGAAAGCCGCTGACGAGAAGGCCGCTGCCGACAAGAAGGCTGCCGACGATAAGAAAGCGGCTGACGAGAAGAAGGCCGCCGACAACAAGGCTGGCGCTGCCAACAACAAGGCTGCCGACGACAAAGCCGCTGCTGACAAGAAGGCCGCCGACGACAAAAAGCAGGCGGGCGACAAGAAGGAGGCCCGGGCTGAAAAGTGAGTGGTGTCCTTTACTCTCGGAGTTGTTAAAGCTAATGGTGAGCAGCGACAGCAAGACCGGCACCGCTAACAAGACTGGTACCGCCAACAAAAACGGCGCTGCTAACGTCCAGAAGAACGGCAACAGCCAGAACAAAAACGCCCAAAAGAAGAACACCAAGTGCGTTTTCGGTTCGTCCTGCTGTCGCTTGCTCATGCGCGTTGCAGCAGCAACAAAAACGCCAACAACAAGGCTGCCCAGCAGCTGAAGAAGGCGGAGAAGCAGTTGAAGGTCAACGAGGGCCGCATCAAGGTGTGCATGTGTGGCTTTAGACGACGGGAGCCCATAAGCTGACGATGCGTAGAAAGCTCAGGGTCTTGTTGATGCCGCTGCGGCCATCCAGCAGTGCCTGCTCAAGGGCAATGACGGTCAGAACAAAAATGGCAACAACAACCAGAACGCTGCCGACAAGTGTGTCCCTTTTTCTCTCGTGGTGCCTCATCTGACGTTATGTTATCACAGAGCCGCTGCCGACAAGAAGGCCGCTGACGAGAAGGCTGCCGCCGACAAGAAAGCTGCCGCCGACAAGAAAGCTGCCGCCGACAAGAAAGCTGCTGATGACAAGAAGGCTGCCGACGAGAAGAAAGCCGCCGACGCCAACAAAGGCCAGAACAACGCAGCTAACAACGGCAATGCAGCGAACAACGGCCAGAATAAGAACACGGCCACCTCCACGAGCTCTAGCGCAGACTCAAAGGAGACTGCCAACAAGGCGGGCGCCAACAACGAGTGAATTTTTTTTTTGATTCAGTTCATTTACAACTGCTGACGAACGGAGCAGGAAGGTCAACGTCCTTCCGTTCCCCCGCAGGAGGGGTCTGAGCCGTCTCAGCGAGCTCGAGTACTGAGCAGGTTGTGTTGTCTTGCTTCTGAAAATTTTTCTCGGTCAGGGAGGAGTTACCCATTTATAATTGTATACTAGTATCGTGTATTGCCGGAGTAGTAGCGCAGATGGAATCGAATAGCAGCGGCGGGCAAAGCAACCTTGTGTGCTTGATTATTAAGAAAGTCTGGATGCAAAGCGATATGACAGTGCTTGATCTTCGTATTCGAAGCTTATATCGCGGAGCGGCTTTGGGTCTACTTGCTGCTTAATCAGCTCTGACCCGAGCTGCGCCTCGACTTCTGTTGCAAAGCCATCCTCCGCGCGCTCGAGACGCGGAAACGCTATGCGAAGGGACTCCAACTTGGGCGGGACGGGGGATTGCTCGTCGGAAACAAGGTCCCACAGGTCTTCCGGGGTGGTATCAGGGCCAGGCTGGAGCGCGATTTCGAGATGACGGAGCCGCGGGAAGACAATGTTGATGAGGGAAAGAGAGGCAGAGAATGCAGACATCAGGACGGGCTGCTGGACTTGTAAGGTGTGCACTGGTTGTGTGCTGAAATCCTCAAGAGGGCGGAGAGGCGCCCCGTTGTGTGGGTCCAGCGGATCAGGGAGTATGGTCAGGCTCTCAATGGGGTGGCCAGAGAAGAGGTCAAGGAGGAGGGAAGAGGGACAATGGAGTTCGCAAAGTGCCGGGAGTGCATGAGGCGGTAGAGAAATAGAGACATCGTAAGCTGGAGGGGGAATGGTGCTGGCCAATAGCCCCTGTGCCGTGTATTCGGGGTCAACAGAGCAATGGAGGATAAGGGTTTGAAGGTTCCATGTGTGTTTGAGGAGTTCCGCGGCTGTGGGTCCGGGCAGACGCAGAGAGAGGTCGAGCTCGAGTCGAATGAGATTGGGGAATGCATCGGCATGGATCTGGGTCAAGAGGCCAAGTATGATATTGGCAACCACCTCTTCTCCCCGTAAACATAAGTCGCAGATAGTGGCTCTGTCGACAATGTGGATTGGGTCTTCATTTTTGGATTTAGCATTGGGCAGAAGACAATCTACAAGGGAGAGACGCTCCAGAGGGAGTTCTTTCCCAGTGGGAAACACACACCGACTGATGTCCAGTTCACGGAGATTGAGGAGTGTGTCCAACTGAGAGCGCCACGCGCCAGCGTAAAGCTCGTCGTCAATCTGGTAGTGTTTACTGCCGTGAACGCCAAAAGAGGCAACGCTCGGAAGGAGCTGCGCGAAATTGCAAGCCAACTCCAAGGGGGACACGGGGTCGAAACCGAAGGCCAGCCTAACATTCACTTGTGCTGGCCCATACAAGCGTGGACGAGCCGCCATCGTGCCAAATGTGGCGGAACGAGTAGATATCAGGAGGTGTGGATGGGCGAGTAAGCTTTTATAACGTTCCATGGAGGGAGAGTAGCCGGGATGAAAGGTGGGATAAGTGACATTGCTAATTAGGATGTCGCGAAAGAGCATCGGTTGGCAGATGGCCCGGAAGAGTTTGCAAGTTAATGAGAGCTGCAGCAGTGATTCTTGCTCGCAATGATTCCAACACAGGTCCCAGAGCTCGCGGGCCATTAGTTGTAGGTAGTTTACGCCCGCCATATTCAATTCAAATGAACTGGTGTTTGACTTGAAGTGAGCTCAGTGCCAAGTATCAACGAGAGTATTGACGGACTGGTGATACTGGAGACACTTGTCCGCCGCAATAGTGCAAGTGGAAATTGTATGGTTATTTGCGGTCGACAATCGGGAGTCGGGACAAGCGATGAATCAAGAATGGCCCAAAATGGAAGCCGTCTCTTGCACCATTCTTCCATCTCCTGCGCAACTTCAGTCACCATAATACACGCGGCATCCACCACTTGAGATGCTATGACGTCGCGCCACAATCTCTCGTTCCCTTCATAACGCCAAACTATCGCGAGTTATACGGCTTCAAGGTCCAGCCGAGCTCGCCATGGAATGACGAATCAGTCTAGGCATCTGCGGTTCTGCAAAGGATTGGCAGACAAAGAGGGCTTGCGATAAGTGTGTATCACTACTAATCTGCCGAGTTATCGCCTTCTCACTTTCTCGACAGAGTGGTCCTCCTCGACACCCATTGGGTTGTACTCTGCTACTCGTAGAGTACAACAGACGGGCCTATCAGCAGTCGTCAAGGTGGTTAGCATGTCAGTGAAGGGGAATTGGATGGCATATACGACTTCTGGTATGTCTGCCCTCCGTGAAACTCCCGTCTTTCAATCTCAATCTTGCTAGAATCGAAATGACTACCATTTCATTACTTCTCCGTCCTCATTCCCCCTGTTCATTCCGGCGAGAGCAGCGCCGTGGTATGTAGTCAAGTAGAGACTTGAAAGTAACAACGCAGTGGTGAAATGTCGGTAAATGTATGTATTAGGTATGCAGGGAAGGGCAATGGATATATGGAACAGGAAAGAGAGGGACAACTGTGGAAGTGAGTTTTGCAACCGCCGTAATAGTGGACGGTAAAAGCGAGCGATAAGTACTAGTAGTGTAAACCAAACACACATAACTGTCGAAAAGAATGTCTGAGGGTGTCCATTCCGGTCGGCTCTTCGCATTGTACCAATAACGGGAAGGAAAGACTCGAATTTCACAGGTTGTGTCGAAGAGACCAAACCACCTGGTCCTTGTAGAGTATGACCGAGTTGTAAAAAGCCCGTCTCGGAGGAAAGAAGGATATTTTCGTGGAGTTTCGGAGAATGGGTCCCATGTGTGTAAAGAAATTCCGCAAACGTGGCTAGAAAACCAACGACAAGCAGCAGGGAAGCACGATGACCCTTTCTTGCATGTAGCATATGGGGAGTCGCTTGGTAGCAGCCAGCCAGGAAAGTAATTGTCGGGCTGAGCTGCTAGCACAAGCATGAACCAATATCGTGAGTGGTTTCGAAAGGGGGAGGGGATTCCAATGGCTCGTTGCTATTGCTGTCCTCGAGTACGACACGGAATTATATGAGTTGGCCAAGGAGTGTCATTTGTCTGAGCAGAGATGTGGGTTGGGCAAATGGCAGCGAAATAATTTTATTGCGAAGGCCTGCACGGGGTAAGCTTTTCGATGAGAATAATAATAATAATAGGAGGCCTGAATACGCACCAGGTGGACCTCGACACCCTCGCCGGTATAGGGAGACTTTTATATCGAGGCTTTTTGAAGCATGCTTGTCGCTCGAGCTATCCGTCTGTCATGTAATTCCGGAGAGTCAAGATAGCAACGCCCAAGGGTTGGTGGCACTAGACCTGGAGCGAAGGCCAGCTTCAGTTCATAGTCAGCCGGGCCGAGAGGCAGTCGGAGGTCAACGTACTGCGTCAATGCTTCACATGAACGATTGAAGCCACCCGATGCCCTTGTTCCAGTCTAGTATAATAGCCCAGATCCAGCCTGTGCTTGAGCAAGGTGATTCGCCACAGATACCATTACAAGCCGTAGGTGGCAATATCGAAGTGGAAGGGCGTGAGGCCTGCTTTGCGGAGGGAGTTGTATTTGGCCATTGTGACGGGTAATGAGTGAGTGCGCGAACGACGGAGGACGGCAAACGGCAAACGAGATGAAGGAGGAAGACAGAAGACCGGTTTCCATTTTTGGTTGTTGCGAGGTTGTCTCCTTCTCCCGCCACATAGTATACAACCCGTGCCGCCGACCACTACAAACGACACAAATGGACTACCTGCACATGGTACCTGCAGAGCTATGGCATGCATGCTGGAGCTTCTCCGACCCGCAAATGCTTTGCGCGATCAGCCTCACGTGCAAAATCTTTTGCGACATTGCTCAGCTGTTGTTATTTCGCGACCTTGAAGTCGTCGTCCCGCATGGCGGTCCGTCAACCGCGTCGATGGCCCCCTTCAGAGACCTGTTGTCTCACCCGCGGCTGCCTTTGCTTGCACGCTCGTTTCGCTTTGATTGGCAAAGCAGAATATCCGCCACGCGGGAGCATACCATGGCGTCGGTGCAGTATCAGCTCGTCATAGAGAGCTTAACACTGTTCCAAAATCTAATTCTCCTCCATATCGATTCCGTCATTGGGGACGACACCCTTGCCGGGCACTTGCGACGGGCTATCGACTCCCTCCCTCGCCTCCGCAAATTGGAGATTGTGAATTGTACATTGAATAATGGGGATATACTTTCCCTCGACCAGTGCAATATCACCATGGATCGCTACCTCCAGCCATCCGCAATCTTCGAGGGAATGAATCTGGTCGATGCATCGACTATCTCAGAGCTAGCTCTTCGAGGAGACCAGTTTAATGCTCAAGACATCATTCAGAGCTTACTGGAACAGCTGCCAACTCTTCCGAGGCTTTTAGTTCTGAAGTTGGACCTCTCCAGGCGATTATCAGGTCCACTTATAAGCGGACTATTGAAGCGCACCCCATATGTTCGAAAGCTGTGCTTACGGTGCCTTCCACGGGTGAATCTGCCTGAATTCTTTGCTGTATTACTCGAGAAGCGCGCTCCAGTAGACTGGCCCCGATACAACCAAAACATAGCCCTGGAACCTGTCGACTTGATCGACCTGCGCGACCTCCGATGTCCCGCCGAACTAGCCACCTCCATCCTCCCCGGGCGGCCGATCCAATCTCTCACAATTTATCAACCGCTCCTACCCCAACCTAGTTCTGCGACCCATACTGTGAATATACCTTTTGCGGTATCGATCTTGCACTTACCCGCAATGCGATGCCAAACCCTGCACTCCTTCCGGATAAAACAGTCCTTGAGCTTCCCACAGTTTTCGGAGACACTGGAAGCCGCACAATTGGCCTTCCCGCAGCTGCAGCACTTGCGTCTGGCGCTAGATGCTGGAGTCAGCGCCGAATCGTTGCTCGAGCGCGTATTAGCACATGAGTTCTTGCTTCCGCGACAACTCCGCACGCTCAGGATCTCACTTCCCGGACTCCGTGCTACGCCGAGCGAGCGACATCCAGATTTTGTCAAGCAGATTGCCGTTGATTTGGCGCGCCAACAGGGGAGTGGGGCATTGTCCTTTGTAGCGTTAGAGGGTAGTGGTATCCAGCTGAATTATTCGCTGCGCAAAGGAGAGGCTGAGTAGCATGAAAACCAATGACTTGGTAATACGACTGTAGCGGAAGTTGAACAAAGTACAATTGTATGGGAAGTAAGGAGTATGTTGATATCGCAGTCATTAATACAACTCAGCCAGGCATGAGAGGCTCAGGCTAAGGTATCCTCGCTCGTAGCCTCAGTAACCCGCACCCACAGCCCATCCTGCGCAAGAGGCATTAGCGAAATCCTCGAGCGAATACTTATTACTCACCAAGGTCGACAACGTAAGTGTCAACTTTGGACGGATGCGCTCAATCGCCTTGCGGCCTTTGGCAAACTTCCAGTCAGCGGGCGGGCGTCCCTCAGCGGAGAAGGCGTCCTCCGCAAGATGAAATGACTTGAAGGATTGGAAAAGGCGGATGAGCATAAATGACATCTCGTTATATGCGAACTGCTGCCCGAGGCAGATCCGCGGGCCGGCGTTGAAGCTGTAAGCGCGGGGTCAGCAGCGCTACGGCACGCAACGAGGAGGACAGACGGGAGGAACTGGAAAGAGTTCGCAAGAAGGTATTTCTTGAGACGCACGTCGATGAAGCGGTCCGGGTCAAATTCATCCGCTATGCGGTATTATCAGCAAGGAGAAAGGCCAGTAGGACTGACTGTTCGCACCATCAGGCCCCCACAGGTTCTTGTCTCGCTGCATAAGGAGTACCGAGTACATTACCCTTCGTACGGTTAGCACCTCCTGCAACACGGAAATGGAAACTCACTGAGCACGAGGCGGAAGGTAGATGGGTTTCTGGTTAGGATCCGGAGACGGGAACGTGGTTGCGCTAATTGCGTCGCGGAAGTTGAAGGGTCTGGCTCGCTGTCAGCAGTTTTTCATGTTAACAGTATGACCTACACAGCGGGAAAGAGGCGTAATGCCTCTGCAGTATGGTTGAGTAGAGTAGCATAAACGGTATAATAAACTGACCGTTGATTACAGCGCGAAGGTATTTCATGTCCTTGATATCTTCGAATGTTGGCCGCCGCGTTGGTCCAATATGGCACAGTATTTCAGCGCGAAGACGTTCGGACGCAGCAGGATGGAGAGACAGACTTGATGACGTTAGATAAGAAAACAGAAACGCCAAGTAAACGACACACAGGTAGATGATCATGGTCAGCGTGTGCATCGTGGTGTCGCGTCCAGCTGTCGGCCACCATCAGCTTTCCCCCTTTGAAATGGCATAACGAACACCGACCCAGCAGAATATTCAGTGTCTCCTCTTTCAGCACCTTTGGGTCCACCGTCGAGTCGAGCAACTCGTCCAATAGATTCTGTGCCTCCCGCTTCTCCCCGCCCGCCGCATCTCCCAGACGTTTACGCTCCACCGCAGCCGCGATAATGGGGTCGATAAAGGCGCTGACGGCCTTCATCGGCTCAGTCATGCCCGCCTTGCGCAGTTCCCAAAGCGGCCAAACGACGTTCCGAGGGATTCTTACAGCGACAGCATCGAGCGATTGATTGAAAGCCTCCGCAAAAGAGAGTTCGTGGGCGGCTGTTTGCTCATTTGGGACAGTGACGTTGTGTGGATAGGGAAGGGCGCCCTTGAGACTGTCGGCGCATTGGCCAAACAGCATCTACAACGACGTCAAGTTAGTAACAGCTTGTGCCAACTTGAAGTCGAGGGAGCGGCAAGTACTCGCCTCTGTGGCGGAGTCCATGGTAAACCGGCCAATGAGATCCTGAAAGTCGATTGCGTATCCTGCACGAGAACGCTCTTTAAGTGCGGCAATGACAACATCGGCATGGACATCAATTGTGTCGAAATGAGCGACGCGTTCCTTGGTGAAGAAGGGCTGGGGATATGATGAGAAATTAAGGCGCCTGGATTTGTAAAGGACTCGCCCTGGTCATTGCTCGATGAAACTTCCACATTTCTCCGTCCGAGTTGAACACGCCTTGCTGCATCAAAGATCAGTGTAAGGTCATGGAGAAATAAGCGACTCACGCCAAGCACCTCCTTCGCAAGCCGCGACAATCGAGGGCCTGAAAAACTTGTCAAAAGACAGCGAAACCAAGACGTGCAAGAAACCGACCTTTTTCAAAGTTATTGAAGTCGGTTGCAAGAATGCGTTTGGCATGGTCTGGCCAGGTCTATGCGAGCCATTCAAAAAATGCCCCCAAGATATAAGATACATCGAAAGCATACCGTGAAGTAGTTGTTTGTCCACAAGATTCTGATATTGATAATCGGGCCATACTCCGCGACAAACTCGCGGAACCCATCGCCTACAGCAGCGTGAGCATTGGCCAGCTCTGAATAGCGCGCCATACTGACCAGGGTACCCGTTCAGTCTGTACCACAGAAGCTTCTGCATAATGTCGATACCGCCCGGCCATTTCCCATGGACCTCAGGTGCGAGTCGGGCCCCCATCGCATTTGCTTCTCGTCGGTGGCGGCGACGCGTGATCCAGTTGCTCAGAGTCGCGTAAACCGGCACCATTGCAACTGTGATCAACGCTGTAGCCCAGACAGGCAACGGCTGCTCGAGTCGTCGCGCAGCATAATGGAGGAGACACCCAAGCGGCACGAGTTTGGTGAGGACCTGGAGGGCGATTGCGCCAAGGAACTCGACACCAGGCGAAACCATCGCACAGGATAGACGATGCAAGCGTGGGGTTGTGGAATAGAAAAGGCCCAGTACATGCCGCCTCTCTTTTATGTCTCTTTTGACATCTTCAGATTCTTCTGTCGTCGTGACGGGTCCGCCGCATAATGTTCGATGACATTGGCCGATCTCGACGGTCTTTCGAGGGTTGCGGTTGGCTGCATATAGAGAGCAATGCGAAAATGTAGACGAAAGCGGAGGTCTACGAGCGCCCATTTCCGTCCTAGTTGATGCTCAGAACATCATGGATATGAATTGCGGCAAGGAGGATCAGCGGAATCGGAATCGGCGTCTTGCACATCCGGTAAATAGCCGGAGACGATCTTCGTTCTGGGCGCAAGTCAGCTGACGCGCATTGAATGCAAGCAAGTCAGAAAGGAGTCAGGTTTGGGAAATATGCGACTTGGCAATTGCAATTGGCCGTATCCACTCCATCGTTTGTTGAGTCTGAGGCCATAAACGCGGTCGACAGCGGAAGAAGCAGTGATGTCGATGGGAAAGTGTCTCCGCAAATAATTCAGAGAGTATTGTTGGGGTAGAACTGGCAACTTGTCAAGCTGCGTGAGGTTATTTTTCAATACATACTTCTTCGCAGCCTCTTTTCATCTAGTTCAGCAGATTCGGAGCTTGCCAGCATCCTGATTCCTCTTGGACGAACGCGTTCCTGAAAAGATGACGGGTCCTTGAAGATACGCTCAGGAACATGACTTAGGTTTGTTCTGCGGACGAGTATCTTGATGGCGTGCAGGATGCAAAGCGGAATGCCGAACTTGAAGTTGAAGAATGCATAATACAGATCCGAATTTGCTAACGTGGAAAAGAAGGGAAGGTTTCTATCGCCTTCCCAAACGACTTCGGTGAAGCGCCCAAGATGTCGCTATAGAGAGGTTGCATATAGATCCTTGACATGGTGTTAGAGGGACAGGATGGAGATGCTTGTGACAAGTATGCCAATAAAAGCGCCAAATGACACGATTTCGGTCTGAAGAACTCGGTACGCGGCAAGACATTATCCACAATATCGCATTCAGCAAAAGGTAGTGCCATTGAGCCAACTCCGGCAACGCGGTGGGGGAATGCGGGGCCAAAAGTTGTCGCGACGTCGGAGCCATTATGTCGACGAGATATCGAGAGAAAGGCTTCGAGTGGCAAAAGCGTAGTCATTGCCAATCCCGGAACTGAAAACTAAGACTCAGCTTCAACAGTAAAACGCTAGTGGAAAATGTACCCGTAGTCAGCGAACGTCACGGTTGTGAGGACACTCGTTTGGAATGAGCACAATGGTCCCCGGTTATAGTGTTCTGTAAGGTAAAGTTAGCAGGCAATAAGCTGAGGGGATGATGTAGCAATACGCACTTGAGAGTGTATCTCCCGAAATATTCCACTCGGCCCTCACACTGGAAACACAAACAAAACACCACTAGTCCCGCTTGGATCCTCAGTGGGACCATCATGACTTGCAAACGGGCCTTGAATGCGTTCAGAGAAATGAACGGCACCAATCCAGAAGCGTACCGAGTTCCCTCTTGTAGGAAGGTGTCTGGGTCATGGAGGAAACGGAAGAAGATGCGATTTCCATTTTGGGCGATTCGGCCTCTCGGGACACGACAACGATCACACAGGTTGGGGGGCAGCAACATTGTATACAGACTAACGGACAGACTACAGTGTACAACGATCTGCTACACGGAGGGTGGGGGTGACGCGCGAACAAGTACATGGTTCAAGAAAACTGGACAGCAAGGAGACCGATAGCAAAGGAGTGGGCGTTTCGACAACGGAATTTTGGAGTAGGTATCGCGGGCGGATGGGGCGAGGGAGAGGGTAAAGAGTGGAAGGATAAAGGAACTACAAGGTTGGCATTGGGCCTCAGGTTGGCGTTTTTGACTTTTTCAGTGGAATTACTTAGTAGAAACGACGAGGGACCTAGAGCAAGTTAGCAGGTGCAACCTCACGAATGAACCCTTCTCACGTATTCAGCATCGTCCCCGTTTACAGGCGTCAAGTGGTCGACTTCAAGCTCACGAAGGAGGTCAAGCTCGGCCTGCTTGTCGTCTTTCTTCTTGGGCTTTCCGTAAATGATAGGCTTAGGGGCGCCATTCTCGTCAGCTAGCACGTATATCTCTTCTTCGCCGCCCAGGTAAATCCAGGTACGGCGCGGATACTATGTTTTTGTTAGCCAAAACCAACGAATACGACAGACCACTTACTGTCACGACCTCGCCGCGTTGTTTTCGATGCGCTATTTCCAGTCGCTTTGCCCGCACGCCCGGACAAACCTCCGCGTGCTTTTCGTACAACCCGGGATAGAAGCGCGAGCGGCCGTCAATGGCCAGCCGCTTGCAGCAGCCACCGCAAACGGAATGGACAACGCCAAACTGGATGATCCACATATTGTTCTTCAAGACGTTGATGCGCTCTTCCTCGCTGCGAGAGGTCTTGCTTTTGATCTTCCTGTTAACTTGCGCTTTCTTTGCGGCGGCCTGGGACTTTTGGCGCGCCACCGGGTTGGCGGCAGCTTTTTTGCTTGTGCTAGCGCGAGGCGGCGAACGGCTATTGGTCATGCGGCGAGCGTGCTGCTTGGGCGGGTTCTGCGCCTTGCGCTGGCCAGGGAACTGAGCTGGGTGATGATAACCGAATTGCATCGGCGGTAAAGTAGGGTAAATGACCGGTCCATGACGAGCATACCCGCCATAGTGGTCGGCAGGCGCGAACTCGAGACCCAGAGCGTTTTGGCTGGGGCTTCCTTTGCCGTCAAGTTGGAGGTCGTCGAAGGTTTGGGCGACTCCGAATACGGGACTGTTATGAGCCAACGTGCTCGCGTTGGAGCTCAAAGGACTGGAGTACATCGTCGATGTTGGTGAGGGCAGGCTTGTGTTGTGGACACTGGTGTCAAGAACGAGGTCCCTGATGGCAATGCGGCGGCGGGCAACGTTGACCATCTGGTTTTGGGGCACCCCTCCATAGCTAAACGGCGGGGACTGGGCTGGATACTGGTACGCCGGGGGGGTTGGCTGCGGCTGGTACTCGTCACGGTAATGATAGAAGTCGACTGGCTGAGTATGCCTGGGCCCCATTCGGACATCGTTGTCGCCAACAGTGCTCCTGCGATTCCGAATCGTCAACAAGCCGGAGTGACCAAGAAGAGCAACCTACCGCATGGCGCTTTCACGACGGAAATCGTAAGAGTGGCTGGGCACTGTGGGCGGCTCGTAGACTCGATCGATTTGGCAGGCCTCGCTATCAGGAAGAGCCGTCAATAAATCGAAGGAGCTGGCTGTAGGAAACCTTACGCTTGCTGTCTCTTCCTTGCGACGCAGAAAGGAGCATGCTGGGCTTGGAGCTCGGCCAACTGCTTGAACGGCGTCATCCCAGACACCGTGAAGGTCTCGTTGCAGCCCTGCACACCACAGTGGCCAGTGTGTGGCAGGAAGTCTGGGTCGTCGTAGGGGCGATATTGGTCAGGGAGCGGAGGAGCTCTGTCCGACATGGTTCGAATTGTGGTGGGGAAACGGGAGGGAAGAGAGGGGGGTGATGATCCAACTGAGGCAGAGGGAAAGGTAGAAGTACTTTTTCGATGCGTCCGCTAACTAATGCGCGATTGGGCTGTTGAACAATCAAAAATCTTGACAGACTTTGTGACCTTTTAGGACGTCCCAGCGCTAAAGGAAGCGAGGGTCGTTGCATTGTGTCTGCACGTGTCAGACCGACGAAACGGTCCTTAGTTCGACCCCGATTCGCCGCGTCAGGCGGCTCGGGCTGCCTGCATTGTTGCGCCCTTGATTGTCCTCGCGAGGCCTCGTGGTGGGCGGGATTTTTCCACCGTACCCGACCTGCCCGCCTGACCTGCGATTGGGTGCTCGCGGAACTGCACCAGCTCGTTCTCTGTGTCTGTGATTGTCTGCCTGCTATCCGGGGAATGCTGTTGTGCCCGGGAAAATCCACAGGAAACGTGCTGTCGGCGGAGTCCGTCAAGACCCTGATCTGTTTATGCGTTCCCACACCCAAGCACGACTCTTTTTTCCTCTTGATGCCCTCTGAGACCGAGAGGCGAGCGCAACAGCGTCGGGATACCGATGCTTGACCTCGAAGAATAGCAACGCTGCCAACGCAAACGGGATGCGGAAATGAAGTCGCTCAGTCAAGCTCGATTTTAAGGTTACTCGATCCCAGAAGGATCTACCCGAAGCGGAATAATGACTTGGTCGCCAAGATCTGAATGCCGTCGATACACGGGCCAACCCAGAAGAGTGACGGTTACGCACTGGCACCCCGAAATCTTAGATTTGTTGGGCTACATCTACGATTCCCCTCTCCATATCGGAAATATATCGATGATCATGACGCTGTTCGAGTCGTGGCCAGCGAGTTCGAACAGCAGGACCAGGAAGCTTAAGCACTGCCTACCGGCAGCAATTCTGAAATTTTCAATCAACCCCCCCGCGCGGATGGCACGTTCTCTAAGGCTACTCAAAACTAGGCTAGCTAGCCCACACCTTTTTTATTTTTCGATTGTTTTTCAATGCCCAGCGGCCCCATCATGATGAGATATGCTCGTTACTAGTACTTCACCAAGTTGTATAGTTTACTGTAAGGTCTTCCTTGTTTGATAAGCTTCGATGCCAAGCGAATAGTATGTACTCCTCTTATTAGTTCCACATCTACTTACTCGCCCTCTCCTTGACACAGATTATAAGTAAAGCTAAGAGAGGCTGAGCTGTTCTCCAATATTACACAAGACAAGGCCCCAGTGGTTTGTTGCTGTGCGAACCCGACGGCGATATTCTTGACAAACTCCGCCCGTTGTTCGCCCAGGTCATGTAGCCCATGAAGGGAGATCCTGAGTGTGCGCAGCAGCGGCGGAATGGCGAGTTGTTCTTTAGACAGTGACACGAGGTCGAGCAACGATTGGGCGCGGACGCTCGCGTTCAGCGCGAGACGCAGGTATCGGAGCCTCGGGAGGAATGATTGCAGGGCGCGCAATATCGAGGCGAAAACTGGGAGGGCCAGCGACCGTTTAATCCGGAAATCGCGGATTGTTTGGCAGTGCATTGCATGCAGGCGCAGGACGGAAAGCGGGTCACTTTCCGCACTAGGGTCTATTTGATAGATGGTCAAGCTTTTGACACGTCGCCCAGGAAGAATGGCGGTGACGAGTTCGGCCGGACAGTTTAGTTCGCGCAAGCCGAGCAGGTCGTTGGGTTGGAGCGCGATGGTGTGGTCGAATGGAGGTTGCTCTACTTCGGCACGTAATTCAGGCAGGATGATAAGCAAATCGTCCTGGTCACGCGGCGCAGGAAACCGCAAACGAAGATGTCGGAGAGACGGGGTGTGCTTCACAAACTCGGCTACAAGTGGCCCCGTCAGTTTATGGGACATGTGCAGCGACAGATTCGAGAGCTTTGGCAGGGCCCAGTTCTGCAACAGTAAACCGCGAAGGATCTTTTGGCCATCAAGCAAATCTCCTCCAAGCTGCAACACTTCAATACTTAGTGCATCAGCCAGGATAATTGGATTCGTTTCCTCCACGCCGATAGGAGGTCTGAGACAATAGCGATCATTAGTCAAGATAATGCTGCAGCTTTGAAGCGCAAGTCTCTTCCCCGTTGTAAAGGAGGAGTTCAAAATCTCCAAGTTGCGGAGGCGAGGGAGAGAGTCGATAGCGGACCGCAAGCTCCTAGCCAGTGTGTCGTTCCCAACGAAGGAATCAATGTGGAGGGAGATCAGGTTGTGGAAGCGCGGCAGGCTGTCCGCAAGGAGCCGGAGTTGTGACAGAATATTGGGATTCTCGAATACATATCGGTGAGTCGGTTTGTCCCGCCAACAAAAGCGAAACGAGCGGGCAAGCAGGGGGAGGCGCGGGTGGGCCACTAGCTCTACGAACGCCGCCATGGATGCAGCAGACCGGCCGCCACGAGGAATGATGAACTCGATGTCGCGAAACAACAGCGGCTGCGCAATGTCGCAAAAGGTCTTGCAGGCGAGGCTGGTCGCGGCAAGCATTAGTCGGTCGGAAAAGCTCCAGCATGCATGCCACAGCTCTGGGGGCACCATCTCCAGGTAATTCATATGTGGTACCGTAGACTGTAGTGGTAGTCGTGGACAGCGCTGGTGAATGTGGGGAAAGGAGACAACTAAATCATGATCTTCGCCCAAAATGGAAGGTAGCGCTCTTTCTTTCTCATCTCATTGCTCTCCGCCATTCCTGCCACCAACACAATTCCACTTTGCCTTGCAGCGCAAAGTCAGCACTCTTTTGCTCCAATCATGCCGATAATGGGTCCTGGTGTTCCAACGATTCGACGTCAACACCCGGAGGTGGAATACAAACGAGACTAGTAGAGGCTGGCGACTTTTCTGGCTGTTGCAGCTTGAGCAGTACGTCTTGCCCGTCTTTAACGAGTCGTAACGAACCAAAGTCCAAGAATCTAGGACTCGCTTTGTGCCACCAGCAGTTTCTTCTCCACTTTTTGGCAAGCAAAAGATGATGGGCAGCGAACCTTGAAGAGAGAGTGTCTGAATGGTGTGTCCCTGTATCTCTTCCTTCTCTGACGCGACTCATGACCCAGCCCTTCGCGATGCAAGTTCCACGCTCCCAGAACTTTTTGCTCATTACACCCTCGTTTCGACTTCAAAACGACGATTTTCCTTATTAGTTCACCTATCGTGTGTTGATGGGCATCCTGCATAACAAGAAGGCCGAAACTGCGCCAGCCTCGAGCGAAGGACAGCTGGCGTGTCCGGTTTTTCCAATCCAGAACCACCAGCTTCCAATTCTTCCCCTTCAGCAAAAACGCACATCCGCCAACGACCTTTCAAATACTCGGAGGGGTTGCGGGCGAATTTGCGGAGAGCGTGTGGCTCAAAACATGGTGCGTTGTCCTGTCTCGTTTGAACTGTAGAAATCTCACTCGAGACAGGTTTCTCCTGGACGAATCTGAAATCTATTTACTGCTTAATTTACTGCGACTATACACATCATGCAAAGGAATTTTTGCGCTTGGCACTCCATAAACGCTCTTGAAAATCCCGGCCCATTAATATCCCTCCTTGTCGCCACGAAAAAATTTCGTGTTATGCCCTCGCGCGACTTCGCAATCTGCTTCGTATTCTACCCAACCACAGGCAACCAGCTCTAACTCCCCACGCGACTCATTTAAAACGTTATCTTCTCACCATGGGCGAATTGACTCGAGGATTTGTTCCTGCTACGTTTCGCCACGTTTTACGATCGACTACCCCTATGTCTATCTATGTCTTGACACCGCCCTGTGCCCTTGTATCGCATTCCACAAATCATATGCTCTCTCCCATGCTCCCAGCCTCGAAGGCTTGCGGTCGCCGTTGTCGTCGTTGACCATGTCCGGAACCGAAGCAGTCTTACTGAAGACCTCGTTCTTGGCGTCGACATCATACTCCAAAACCCTCGATCTCCACTAACTGCGGGGAAACGGAGTTCTCCACCGTTTGATTCCGAGTCAGTTTCTCCACCGCCTTGGCCCCTTTCTCTCGCTCTATAAGAGCAGGGTCTCAAATCGTCGTTTTTATTATCCAAAGACCCCTTCGACGCGTCTCACAACACAAAGAACGCTATCATAACCATCATGCCTTACACACGCGCCATCGTACCCCCTACCCGCTTCGCGCCCCGTCGCAGGAGGCGCTCATCCCCGTCCTCTATTTCGACGTTTGTCGAGACAGTTGCCGCGGCTATCGGGATCAGGCCGAAGAAACCACAGACCAGGAACCCCAGGCGCCACAGTGATTCTTCCTGTGCGCCGCCCAAATCTATTCTGAAGCGCCGTTCTGTTGACTCCGATGTGTCTCTGACAGAGTCGGGCGAGTCGGTTGTCAATGATGACGACGACGAATCGGATTTCACTAGCTATCAAGGTGCGGTTTATTACTCATTGCGCTGGTCATGTTAAAAAGGCATGGCAGATGTCGAGAACTCGGAACCCGCGAGCTACCATGTGGTGCCTTGTAGACATCGGGGGCTCGTGCGTATTCCCGTCCTTCCTCCGCCTGAGCGAGATGCTGGCATAATCCTGTGTCGAGAGGGTGCGGAGGACGACGCTTCAGGGCGAGTGCGATTCCTTGTTCCCGATACCAGCCCTGCTGGCGCGGAAGCCGAGGAAGAAACACCGTCGTGGGACCAGTTTGTAAGACATTGTCTTGTGATAAAGTGCACTATAGGCTGACTTGACTTGCTCATAGTGACTTCACGCTCGTCCTACGAAACAACGCCGGATACGACTACCGATGTAAAACGGCAGGACTCAAAGAGCGATGGCTAAAGGCCCTATCCAACCTTGAATGAATCAAGTTACTTTCGAGCTGCGACATCTCTCGAGAAAGTACGGATTCCGAGAGCGAAGTCAGTGTTTGTCTCACTTGAGACCAAGGCTTGTAGGAGTTGTACGCGAGTAGGATAAAACTTAGACAACTTCTACTCGATGTCTAAACCACCAGACACTTTTTCTTTTCGCACAACTTTATGTCTCAAAAAATCGAAAATTGACCGGGTGACGACTACCAAACGCCCTGATTCATCTTTCTTTACCTTGGCCAGTGCGGGCGCTACATAAATAACTAATACATGGGCGACATGGACGGGGTTTCGTATCAATAGGTGCTGTTGTTATAAGTAGGTAGGTATGCGGGTCCGTGTCATCATGAATGTAGAGTGCAAGAAGCAAAAAAATGCAAGAGTATGGTGGAACGAATCAGAGGACAGACCCAAAGCCCAATGCAAATCTAATCGTCGTCGTCTGAGTCGAGCGATATGACTTCGCCCTTCGCGGCAGCAGCGCTGAACGGGTTTGAAGACGAGTAGCGCCCGTCGGGTGTTCTCCACGTGCCGTCGGCCTCTAGTAAGACGTCGTCAACGGACGTTGGCGTCAAGCGAAGAATTTCTGCAAAAAAGCTATTTTGTGTCAGACAAGGAAAGGCGAAGGAGCGCGATGAACATACCCGTCGATGATGAGGTCCCGCCAATCGAGTACGTTTTCACATATAGGACACAGCCTGTAGTAACATGTGAGTGGGATTAAGGACAGCAAGAAAGACGGACCATGTCGTAGTTTGTTCCATGACAGCATACCAAGACGTAGCATCGAAGCATTGAGAATGAGCACATCTAGAAGAGCGACAGGGCAGGGCAATGCGGGCGAAGCTCAGCTATTCGAAAAGGGATAACATGAGCTTGAAGGAGGGCATTAAAAAGAGGAGACACATACGGGGCATTTGAGAGGCAGTTTCAGTGTCCCAGCAATGATATCGTCGTCTTCACTCGCCGTAGAAATCACTGAACAGCATCAGAAAAGGGTTATATGTGGTAAGAACGAGACTTACTCTTTTGACGAATGCGGTCTGCGGGAACGAAGTTGTTGGCGACAAGAGTATTGACAAGCGAGTTGACAGACTGCGTTTTGACCAACTGTGCAACGAGATAGAATCGCTGTTGATGAAAGTCAGTTGAAGTTTCTTGTCGGGAGACTAATCAAGACAACACACCTTATATTCGACCTGGGTGCCGACCGGGGAATGATTTATATAGATCATCCTCACGACATTCGGCCCTGGACCCAAAGTACCGACACCGAGATCGGGGGGTGGAGCGGTTCCAGGTGTTTTCTTCATGCCCTTTAACGCGGTTGACTTGAGCTGGACATCGTTGATAAAGACTTCGCATGTTGATGGGAACTCGATTGGTAAGTCGGGATTGGTGGCACGGTGAGCGGAGTAGAACTTGGAACTCGTGCAAAACAGGCGGACTTGATAAGTGGAGCTAGCAGCAAATGAGAAATTGATGCTGCGGGCGAATAATCGGAAAGCACTTGGGGGTATTGAGTTTCGCGAGTTGGGCTGGGGTAAGTGAAAATTTCAGGAAAGCTTCACGGCGATCTTGCGCGTTGTAAGATTCTGGTCTGTATAAGCTCTGGAAATGACGGGTGGGCGGCCACGGACCTGGACATTCGTAAACTGTCGATACTGTCTCCTCGACGCTGAAAAAAGGCGATGGTTTGAAGCGAAATGGGTCTGGAGAGGTTTAAATTGAAGCAGGACGGGGTTTGTAGCATTCTGACCCGTCGACACAAAGTTTTTTCGGACGGGCGCTGAAATGCTTCCCGGTAGATGAGGAGCGATGGGGGCAGACTTTGCGGGCAGTGCAGAGCTTGATGCTCTAGGCAGACTACACGGAAATTGTCTGAGAGCTATCCAAGTCAACAGAGAACGAAATACACGCACGAAAGGAGTATCCCCAAGCTTATAAAACTGGACCGGACAGCATTCCAGCCCTTCAGATCTCCGCTAGTTTTCAAGCGGCGTAAAGACGCGGCCATCCGCTCTACTAGGTCGCCCTTCTTCCCTGATCGCGAAATGTGGGCATTGAGGTGTTTGTTGAGGGCCACTATGGCGCTTTTTAGGTCCACCACGCTTGACAGCGAAAGCCGATTGACCACGGTCTGCAAATGGTTGTCAGAGTGGTAAGAGCGCGTCTAAAATGACTAGGGCACACGTCTATTTCTTCTAGGCCGGATACGGCGCGTGAGGAGGACATGGGTGGCAGAGTCAGGGAAGCAGCGTGATGAGTCACACCGTGACCGCACTTTTCGATATTTTCAACGAGCAGAAGACTCGAGCAGATTGTTTCAAAGTATCGCGCAACCTTAGAGACCACCATGTCCAACGTAGGTACTTACTCCAGGTCGTCTCTTGTTTAATCATAGTTGTATGTAGCTTCCACCGCTGGCTGTCGAACTAAGGCTGGCACAGCAAATGTCGCCGAAATAAGTATCGTGGCGTTAGACTGTCAGGCACAACTTCGACAATCTCGGGTAGTTGAAGGACATATGCTGTTGCTTCTTACCGTCTCGTCGGCCCTCAAATCTCTCTCCTCTCGCGCCTCTCCCGACGAATGCACGGACATAAACGACTGCAGGCGGCTCTTTGACATCGTCTGGGGCTGTCTTGTAACCATCTTCCTCTGCATATGGATTTCGGTTCACCCAAATGTCCCCCCTCCCCTGCCTTTGGATCGACAGCCATCAACCGAGGCGGGTCTTTGGATACGCGCTCGGTGGCTTGTAGTTGATGTCAATGGACCGTTGATTCGTCGAATCAAGCTTATGGGAATCGCGTTGCTCGCTCCCGAGCTGATTTTTGGACTAGCTGCGCGGCAGCTGGCGGTGGCCCGTTTTTTCTCCCAGAGTGAGCTTGTTCCACTCAAGTCGACAATTTTAATGCTCACGACTTGAACAGAATACGACATCTCCCTCACGAGGGGCTTCTTCATCGGAATGGGCGGGTTTGTTGACGAAGATGGCCACCCAATTGTAACATGCGCTCAACTCTCTGAGCTGGGAGTACTCGAGGCAGTTCGCAGGGTTCCTCAGGCGGCGATCGATGATAAAAGCAAGGGCGACTTCTTCTCGAAAGCAATCAGTCTGTCGCAAGGAGTCTGGTTCATCGTCCGCTGCATTACGAGGGGCATCCAGCATCTCCCGCTCACAGAGCTCGAGATTGCTACATTGGCTTTTGCGACCATCAACGCGACCACTTTTCTGTTGTGGTGGGGAAAGCCGCTGGATGTGCGCGATCCCATAATGCTGGCAGTGAAAATAGCGGCTCAAAACCAGCCAGGAGATGCTCCTCGGCCGATCAAACCCCCACTTCCGTGGACGAGCCGCCTGGAATTCTTGCTTTTCAATAGCTACACCACGGAGGACCACGACCCATACTCCAGCAAGTTTGTCCCCACCTTCTGGTCCGCCTCCTCCGCTGACGATGCGGGAAAGAATATCGCCGTCGCGCTTGTTTTCCAATTCTACTGCAGCGTCGTCTTTGGCGGTATCCACTGTGCTGCGTGGGACGTGGCATTTCCCAGCGTTGCCGAAAAGTGGTTGTGGCGAGTCGCCGCTCTGGCAATCGTGTTGCTGCCCGCAATCCTCGCGTCGACGTCACCTTCACAGATGAAGATGACTCTGATTCCGATTGCAGTGATGTACTGTGTTTCGCGGGTTGTGCTTCTTGTTCTGCCTCTCACGACTCTTCGGACTCTCCCCCCAGCAGTTTTTGTGGACATTGATTGGAGCATATACATTCCGCACTTGTAATACTGGACATCATTAAATCTTACAAAAGGAAAGCACCAGAGAGTAAGAGAGGCAACATCCACCATGAGCCCGAAGCCCCTTCAATTGCATTCCCGCTTGTACTATTCGACAATGTCCCACTGCCCGTATAAGTCACATTCACCGCCTGGGTCGTCCACGCAATCAACGCCGCCGGTAGATTCGATCCGTCGTTTATCGTGAACGATAACTTGGCAGTTGCCCCAGGGGAATCGAGGCTATAAACCGAAATCAGTCTCGTACATATGACCTGACAGAATCTCCAGCACATACTTTGCGTAGGTTTCCCCATATTTATTCAGTATGGTGACGTTGTCGATTGAGCTGCCCCCTGAGAGCGAGACCTCGAAGGTGTAGTCTCCGTCCGCGAGCTCGTCAATCTCCACAGCAACATAGGTAAGAGACGAGTCCCCGTAAGGGTTCCGAAGGGTCGCGTTGGATGCGTCCAGTTTGACGGTTGTGCTCTTGCGGCGCTCCAAACTTGGGCTGGCGGCAGCCGGGGTTTCAGTTATTGCTGGGTCGAAAGAGTCCGCTCGCGGGGCAGGGGCGTTGACGGGTAATTCCCGCGGGAAGTTATACTTGTTGCAGCCGCCTTTGATCTTGACGAGCACCTTGTCTTTCGCGTTGACGCCGCATTTCCTCAGGAATTTTGAGAGCATTGGGCCCTGAGTGCCGGAGTTCTGATACCGCGGAACGCACCAGCGCGTTTGGAGGCCGCTGACAGGATTCAGTGTCGCTACAAGAATGATCAGTAGTCGAGAAAAAACGCGGAAAAGGACGAACCTGGGGGGTATTCGTCACATTGGAATGAACCGACCCCAAGACCACTGGCGGCGGAGACATCTATGGACAAAACCGGTAAGTAATAAGTATGGAAGGAAGACCGACATTGGTAGGTAACCTTGACAATAGCCTGCACAGTCCGCCTCGTTCCTCACGCCCTTCCCGTTATACTCCAACACATCCTCGCCGTCAGCCAACCCGTTCTGTATCAGCCCAGCCCGCTGTCTTGTCACGATTCCATAACACATGCTATAGACCAGCTGGTCCGTCTCGCCCACCACCGAATCAAGCTCCCAAACGGGCAGTTCTTGACGGGAAGCAACATTACACAATCGAGTGCAAAAGTCGGGGAAAGGTCGTTGACGGGCTTCAAGAAGGCGCGCAGCATTGGAAGCAGGGGAGCAGCCCGTGGTCGAGGGCAAGCCAGAAGCAGTGGTGATTGTCCCAGTAGATCGGAAAGTAGATGTGGATGTCGTAGTCCGCGTTTGTGTTGTCGTGCGAATGGATGAGCAGTACCCTGGAATGGACGCACAAGTAGAGCCTGACGGACAGCCTATGAGAATTGTGAGATCCCATCTAATTGAGTCAACGAGAAAAACTCACAAGCATCATTACAATGTAATTCCCCCGCCTCACAACACTGTTTCCCGCCGCCGTTCGTGTTACATTGTTGTCCTTGGGGGCAAACATAAGACGTCCCACAGCAGACTGAGCCGGGTGGCGCGCAAAACTTTCCCCCACAGGTTTGCGCGGATTTAGGGCAACAGTAGCCGGGGCGGTCAGAGCGGCAGTTTGAGTTGGTCGGGCAGCAGTCGAGGAAGGTCGAGCACTTGCAATTAGTTGAGGTAAGTTATATCGTGGGCATATCAATGACACGCACACATTGGCTTCCTGCGGGACAACACCAAGTATTTCCTTGACAAGGCACTGGGTACGCGCATGCTTTTTCTTGTCGTGCAAGGGGTGGATGGGCGGCGTCTCGGGCTTGCGGTCTCAGTAGGCCTGGAATGGTCGTGCTGAGTTGGGAGGTCGTGGAGTTGCTTGATATGTCTGTGTTAAGAAGCCGCGATCTTTCAGGACGGAAAAGATCATCGAGAGGTTCTCCATTGAGCACCGGAACGAGTGAAAGCAGCAGCAAAAGAGCCATGGCAGTGCGCAAAGGGAGCCAGCGCCACCGCAAGAGGCTGGTTACTTATACCAAACACTCATCTTCATGGACGCCGCTGACCATCTTCGAGGATCATTTTTGACAAGAATCAAAATTTGCCCATTGGCCAAGGGTTGTTGTTGCCTGCGCGCCTGACAAGGAGATGAGGCTGGTAAATGAATGAGGCTGTGCAGTTTTCTGAGACATGAGGTGCTGTTTGGCTTGGCGAGCCGCACAAATTCCACGTTGACCCTTTCAAAGCTGTTCGTCTAAACTTGAAGTCATGCAGTATACCAAGCCGTAAATCTAATGGGTTGCGTTAGGATTGGGACAACTCATCCAACACTACTTGTTTGCTCAACGTTGGAGGGAGGCCGCTGCCAGAGCAGCTGCGGACAGTCCTATACTGTATGGTGTGCTGAGCGAGGCTCGGCGAGCAGTGATCTACAAGGCAACACATACCATATATGATATACCGAGGTTTGAGATGACTTCCAAGGCAAGGCGGGACGAGACTAACGAGAGAGTTGGAATGAGACGAGAAGATGGTCACGCCACGTGTCATGCACGTGATGTGACCATCATCATGACAACGTCCTTTCCGACCGTCAAGTCTAGAAGTTTCACTGTTTCAGTACTTTATGGTCCATGGTCCCACGACTCAGGGAATTCTTCAACTCGCCCGAACGACTTTTGGTACTTCAGGTCTACCCGACGCCAATGAAACGGACTGTTTTAAGAAAGTTGCTTAATGCATTCAATGTTCGGTTGTCTCTATAATAATCACCAGTGATCAACAGTGCAAGATTCTCAAAAATTAAAATACATGTTTCAACCCCTACCACTCACTCGTCAAGGGCTGGGTGGGGGTTTCCCCCTAGGTTCTCCCGGTCAACCAGCTGCAATCATGATATCGTTGTCCTATCTGGGCCCTGGCATAGGTAAACGATACAGTATACCGTGATCATGATGACGGTTTCAAGCTACTGTCACGTCGTCTTACATGAACGACCAAGTCAATTTCGAGATGACCAAGGTAGTGAGTACTTAGTATTCGACGACATTGATTCTGAAACAGGAAATGCTAGCTCTCCCGAGCACCGTGAATGGGAATCAGTGGCTCTCGTGATTCTCATCATGTGAATCTACGTTTGCGCGATTCCAAAGGCCACTGCGACTGTTCACAAAGCACTTCCCATCCGAAGATCGTCGGCAGGTATACCCTGCTCAGGCCTGCTGGTTCTTGAGCGTCTGATTCCCTCTCGGCTCCGTCGGCGGCTCATTCTGACTCTCACGGGTGTTGGCGATCTTTGCTCGACGAAGATTGCCGGCGCTCTTCAATACGAACGGTGGCTGGAAGATCTTCCGAAGTCGTATGGGGCGCAGGGTGGCAGTACTGAGGATGAGTCATATGTGTGTACGTGTCATCCGTCTTCCAGCAATGCGTGGTGGGTAGACTGAATTGCCTTCTTCTTTAGAATAAAGCCGAACGCCTACAACCAACTGCAAGTCGCGATAGCCCCATTGCGTAGGGCCTCCGAGGAGTACCGCGCCATGTAAGACCCAACCGTTTTTGTCATTTCAAGCTGGCGGCTATCGCTTCGCGTCTCAATGGGTTACCTCATTCATTCAAGTCTTGACTCGCTGCTGAAATCAGCGTCAAATGCGCGCCTCTATAAATTCAAGCCATAATACTGCTCGTTACCCCCAGTACAACAAGAACGCGGATATGGATCCTGGCGGGCTTGACTCGAATGCAACGGTTAGCTTTCTTCGCGGCCGTCCGCGCACGCTTGTGGCCTGTTACAACTGCAGGAAGCGCAAGATTCGAGTGTGTCCGCCCTTCTATTTTTTGTTGAAGTTTTTCTCATCATAAAATTTCTCAAGTGCGTCACCACCGAAAACCCGCCAGTGAACCCATGCAAGCGCTGCATATCGCGCCGTCTCGAGTGTCAGTACGACGGCCCGGAGATGTCCGTCTCAGGCTCCCCGGTCAGTACTAGTGCCTATGGTGGTCAGCAGCCGGATTCGCATTCTCCTGTTTCAGCTACCCCTTCATCTCCTGCGCATCTACATCCCAGCCAGCTGTCCAATTCTCGGCAGCCCCATCTGGACACCGTTCCATATAACGCGACGCCATTATATCTGCATCCTCCAACTCCAACTCCCCATGGTGCTCCAGTTTTTTCCGGGCCGAGTCCGCCGCTTCCCTATACCAGCCCGCCGCCCTTTCCCGCCCGGCCGCGATACTCGAACGGACAGGGCTACCCAGACCTATCGCTCAGCTTATCCGATTCCGAGAATCCTCGCATGGACCAGTACTTGCGTAACTAAATATTGCTCAAAACCAGAAAGTTTTGCATCATTTGAATTTAACTCAAATACAACTACATCTGCCATCTTTAAAATCCATGATTTCCGCGATTTAAATCAAGCTTACCTTTCGCTCATAAAAATCTAGTTACCTCAACTTGAATCCCAAGGAGTGGATTGGACTCTACTTAACAATTGTGTCATCCCAGCTCAAAATTTCAATAGTACAATTCCCCTCAGGAATGATCAATATATTACTGAAGAAAGCCTTATCCATATCATTTACTCAAGTCCTTACTTCAAGTCCTATTCAGCAAGTCGATGCATGACCGTTCCAACAACACTCTTCATTTCAATCTACTGTACATTTCCTATCCCAGAATCGGATCTCCTTTGTCGACCTCGAACAGCACCTCCTCCGCCTTGCCATGAATCTCGCTCAAACTACGGTACCCCGCCAACGCGAGCGTGGTGTCCAAATCGGCGATTGTGTGCTTGATCACCTGCTCGATGCCCGCCTGGCCAGCAACGACGCCGCCGTAGACCCACGGTCGGCCAACTGAGCGAACGGTATCAGGCGGCATATAGAAAACAGAGTAATAAAAACCCACGAAGAACAGCTTGCGCTCCAAGCGCGATAGCCTTGAAGATGTCGGGGCCGGTTCGGATGCCTGAGTCGAAGAGGACGGTGAGTTTGCCCGCTGCTTGGGCAGCCTTGATCTTCGGCGAGCGCATGATGCTCGCTAGGGCGTAAAGCGACGGAATGGCACCGTCAACTTGCCTTCCACCTATAACGCGTGTCAGACAACGAATAACATAAGTTGGCCCAAGCACCGTGATTGGAGACGACAATGCCGTCGATGCCACACTCGAGACATTTCTCCGCGTCGTGGACGTTCTGGATGCCTTTAAGCACCAATGGCCCCTCCCAGTTCTCGCGCAGGAAGCGGAGGTCCTCCCAGCTTCTGAATAGGCCCGAATTGCACTCTCTCAGCCACTCTCTTCCGAGAAAGACCGCCTCCTGAATGTCCTTGTCGCCCGCCACGAAGCGTCTGTCCATCTCCTTTGAATCGTAGGGAAACTTGGGGACCACGCCCGTGATCGGCTCTCTCCCAAGCCCTTTCATGAAGACCGGGTCAGAGGTCCCGATTTGCACGCCAACGCCATGGCCAAACGGGATGTATGAAGTCTCGAGGTCGTGCGGTCGCCAGCCGAGGAGCATGGTGTCAAGGGTGACAACGAGGGCCGTGAACCCGCTCGCTTTGGCACGCCCTAGCAGGGAAAGTGTGACGGCGTCGGTCTTGGGCCAGTAGAGCTGGTACCAGCGATGTCCATTCCCGTTGGCGGCTGCGACGTCTTCGATTGGCCGAGAAGAAGCGGTGCTCAATATGAAGGGCAATTTCGAAGCGTGGGCAGCGCGGGCGGGAGCAAGTTCGCCCTCTGCAGTGAAGATGCCTTGCACACCGATGGGGGCAATGAAGATCGGTGCTGGGTGTTTGACACCAAATATGGTCGTCTTCAAGGTAGTTAGTAATCTGCAAGCAAGGATGCGAAAACGTGCCTCGAGATTGCGGGTTGTCGCGTTGACAAGCATACGGGGGACAATTCTGTACTTTTCAAAAGCACGCAGATTCGCGCGATATGTCGAGTTTGTGCCTGCGCTGCCCCCAGCATACATGAAGGCACCTTTCTGCTTGTGAGTTGTGAGGCAAGCGAAGTCTGGAAGACAACGCACCGGGGTAGTCCTTCAGCTTCTCCTTCGCCTTGGCTTCGATCTCCTCGAAAACAACCGTTCCAAGCGGCCCAGGTCCCTGTCTTCCTGCATAGACGGACAGCATGTACCCGCTCCAGCTCCATTGTTCCTCTGGGGTGGTCATGGCGGTCGTCGATATCGGCTCAAGTTTGTCCCGAATACGATTGCTCGTCAGTCTGATGACTGATGACCGGCTGGATGGCCTGATTTCCGGGAGCAATCATAACTTAGGTATGTTGAGCAAGACTGGGTATTGGTGGGAGAAGATGGAGGTTTGGGACAACCTCGACGCGTGACGTAAGCCTCGGATCCATTGCCAGCATTTACAACTACTCTGGCTATTTTTCCAAGTCGGAGGAGAACAAGAGGGGGAATTATAGTAGTGACCTTTCATACACCAAGATCGAGAGTCAGAATACGTGTGTCTAAAAAAAAAATTATCAAGAAAAGTGTTTCTGAGTTAGAGGGCTCACATTACTTGATCGTAAGATTTAACCTTGCAGGTACGCGCACAGCCGAGTTTCACAGAGTCAGGAATTCCATTAAGCTATTAACCGAAGGTCTAAATTTACAGATAGATAAATGTGCTGCCATTGTCCATTCCATTATTATTGTGCCTTCTTCCAGCCTGAGTTCGATTATGGTGTGTTGCGGCGGGGATTATAGCCCGCCGAGCTGTGCGGGCGTCAGGGAGTTGTACCGGGGGCAGAGCGTGCCCCATTCGGGGGGCTGGACGGAGTTGACGATCGTGTCAGTGTCTTCCGCGAACACGACGGCAAGGCCACTGAGAATATCGGTCAGCGTTAACGCGGGCAGGACGGGAGCGGACGTACACTTCGAGGTGGAAGTCGATGTGGCAGTGGAGGAACCACGGACCCCTAAAAAGACGTTGAGAAGAGGAAGACGCCAGACGAAACTGCAGACTCACGCATTGTCGGTCTCGAAGCGGATGGTGACGTTGTCGCTGGGAGACCACCGTGAGCAGCTGGCGGGCGGTAAGTGAAGAAACGAGCTCACGTTCTGGCGGCGCCGGTGTCGACGACGTCGCGGATGACCGGGTCGATGTAATTGTACGTCGAGTTTCCGCTGCTACGGAGGACCCAGAAGGTGTGCTGCAACAGTCATGAATTAACAGGGGAAGAAGGCAAGGCCAATGAAAACACCAACACCGTGAAGATGGATGGGGTGAGGGCCGCCAACGGTGCCTCCCGGAATGGAGAGCTCAACGACCGAGTTGGGCGGGAGGGTGCTGACAAAGAATATGAACAGGATGATCGTCTAAAAAATGCACCACAAACTAGACACTGCCGGGAGGGAGAAGCTCAGCGGCGGTATGCGCTCCGCTCTTGATCTGGAGGAGAACTGGGGCCGTGGGCGACACGTACTCGGCACCGTTGACGGTGAAGTGGCCGCCGGCAAAGCCAATCGCGAGGTTAAGATTAACGTCAGCGCCGCCAGGAACAGGTCTACCAGGGACAGGGCGGGCGACAAGCGGGTGGAGCTTGGTCTCAACAAGCGCATTGGTAGCGGCAACAAGAGGAGTCGCTGGGTCAGAGACAGGTGCGCCGGCGTAGCGCAAAACGGCCGAGTTAATACCGTTGGCGAAGCCCGCTGTCCCGCCGTTGGCAACGGAGCGGATCCAGTAGTTGTTGACGGGTTGGTTGGCCGTCAAGACGAAAGAGTACCGTTGGCCAGCGAAGATTTGAATGGAATCGACAGTCAAGGGCTGGGGATCCGTTGATCAGTCAGGATAGGGAGGGAAATTCTACCACGCACCTTGTGGCTAACACCGTCTACCTCGATAATCGTCATCGTGTGGCCATCAATGCTGAATTTGAAGTTGGGATCTGTAGGGCCTGAGTAAAATATACAAAGCTTTCAAGTCGAACCCACCGCAGGAGAGAGAAACGAGCCGGAAGCGATAACGTGTGTTTTGCGTGACCGAGATGACCGCAAGTTGGGATGTCGGACCGCCAGCATAGCGCCCAAGGCCGTTGATCAGGGTGGAAACGAGCGTAGGTGGGATGCCGAGGGTGTGGACGGGCGCGTGGTACCAGTCCGCGAGGGTGATGACGGTGCTGTCGTCGTCTACATCGTACAGACTCTTGTGCGGGTCATTGGGGTCGTAAACTGGAAGACGAAGGATGAGCTAGTCACTCTATGGACGGGGATTGAACACCCTCACCAACGATAACTCCACGGAGGCCGTCGCAATACTGCGTCGACAGGTGGGAATGGTACCAGTAGGTTCCTGTACTGTGGTCAAATACAAGCCATCTTACGAGAATCGGAGACTAACCTGGCTGGCCGGCGGTCGAAAATTCGTACAAGAATGAATCATTTTGAGCGATGGGGCATTGTGTGACGAACGCAGGACCATCGGCCCAGGAGCTGCCTGCCTGGAAGCTATCGAAAGCGTTACTCACGCGTTATACCAATGCAAAGAATAATTACAAGCCGTGCCAATGAATGGAGCTGCTGAGCAACATGGTGTTGTCAGTGAGGGAGTCGATGACATTCAATCGAAATGTGTCGCCGACGTTGGCCTTGATGATTGGGCCAGGAATGGTACCTCCCGCTGTTACAGCTCTGAAAGTCGTGAGTCTTAATGTTGGCACAGGGTTAAACCCGACTTACGAGCGAGTAAAGCCATCAGGCGCAACCTGAGCATTGACGAGCGTAATGTCAGCGACGGGACCCACTGCACCAAGTGCTGGTGAAGCGAGCGCGAGAGCAACGAGCGATGTGGCCGCAGTCAGCATGCCAGAAGAAGGAAGTAACGAAGGAGGGTGGGTCCCAATGCAGAAACGAGGCAGTTTGGCGGGTCCTTTTATGTTCAGCGAAAGTTACGCGGCCACGGCCAAGTCCAGCGGCAGACGAATCTCAGATTCATGGCGGCTGTCGAGATACAAGTTTCGTGACAATGGAGCAGGGGGTAGACTACGTACGCGTGTGTCGGCGGTACGAGCGGAGGTAAGATTGATTTGATGAGAGATGCGAGGGAGGGTTGCTGCGATCGCTCGGGTCGCTATTCCAAATATAGCAAGCCCATATAAGCAGAGGCAACTGTCGCTCGAGACATCCAACTCCGACTCACCCACACCCACAATGTACAAGTCCCTCCTTGCCCTCGCCACTTTCGTCTCGCTCGCAGTTGTCCGTCACGTCCTTTCCATTGGTGGTGATTCAGCTCACGGTAAAACAGGCTGTCCCGAAGGTCTTTACAGCGACGCGCGAGTTCCAGACACTTACCGACGTGTAAGTTCGCCCACTCGCGGTTGTTTCCCTCCTGTTAACTTTTCTTCCAGCGAGCCGTTCTTCGTCACCAAGACCACAACGGTCACCTGGACGTACGCCCCCGGCTGTTCTTGTTGACCGTCCTCTGACACTTTACTTGCAGCGGCAGCGCCAGCACCAGCGTCGCCGAGCCCACTGGTACACCCATCTAAGCGTAGAAACTTTGAGAAATAATGCACACATAATGATAATTGTTCTTCTCTTGTTCGCATCGTTCTCCGGGCCTGAGACTCTGAGTCAGCTGGCTTTGCAACGACTTTGCAAGGGAGAAGATGGAAGATCGGGGAGAGATGTGATTGGCGTCGTGATCCTGATGTGACGCGATAAATTGATCCTGCCAAACGCCAAAGTGGGGATGAGAACACGGACCGGGAACCCCGCCCATACCCGTCGCCGTGCCAAGTGCGAGCGGATGCCTGGCGGTCTCACGGTTTCAACAACTTGAATACACACGGCCATTGACTCCAATGCAATCCGAATGGTGAAACACTAGAAACTTGTTAAGAACACATATTCTGTTGTTTGTTGTGTTTCAAGTGGGCTGCATACATTCGCCTTGGCGCTAATTCGTATGATTGGCCTTGATCTTCCTATTGTGCCTCAAAACGGTTAAGGAAAATATAGAGCCCGACCGCCTCTTCGGACTGTTTTATAAATGTGCGATTGATCGCACCGCAGCGACCCTTGCAGGGAGCAAATTTGCAAGGCGGTGGCCGTGGCAAGCCTCAACAGGAGGGCGACCGATGATTGACGTAGCCATGTGGCCATGCCAATCAAGAAGATCCCGCGGCAATCAACGAGTCTCATTCGCGCTTATTCTTATTTCGGCCGCAATCCCGAGCCGCCGACAGGACGCGGAAAAAAAACGCAGTCAAGGTCATCAATTTTAGATGGTCCATGATGGTTCTACATAGTTGTTTTCGTGCCTGGCTGCCTGTCGCCGCAGCAGAAGACCAGACTCCAAGAAGCCCCGGCGGCGGCGCTGGCGGTGTTTTGCGGCAACTGTCAGTTTCCGGCGGAGTCCGGACCGGATATTCGGTGCAAAGACAATCTTCGATGACGGTGGCTTGCTTGCGTGTTCGGCTCGGCGCACCGGCCCAGCGATTGCGTGGATTGTGCGGCCTGATCCAAAGCGCTTCACCTAATACTACTAGTCATAGAGTAGCCTGACGAAACCCGGCACGAAGAACCTCCCCAGTCATCGTCGCAACATCGATATTTGCGGTCGTTTGATCCGCAACCGTTTTCCGAATTCCGATTCTTGTGCCGCATCCGCGAACTCTGCTTTGTCGTCTAGACACTTGGGCCGCCTGGAGGTCCGTCGGCGCCGTCGGCGTATGTGGACTTGTTGAGCGCGTTGCTGATGATGATCGTTTCAACTTGAAAGGTGCTGAGTAACATCCGTGTTACTACTGTTAGTAGTTAAGGGTACTATATAACAATCCTTACCTGGGCCCGTATGAATTCACCAAACGGCGACTGTTGGCCTTGGGATGTGCTCAGGATCCAGGAACCAGGGCCAGATTTACGCGGGACTGCGTAATGCAAGGATCGCTGACTCGTCGCCTTTCAAGATTCCCGGCCCTTTGATCCTGATCGTATGAGCGATGATCGTCGAAAGGGCAGCTTTAGTTTGAAACCAGAAACATCAGGATCACTGAATGACAGATAGATAAGATTGTCCGTCGAGGTACTTATGCTGATGCGCCATCAACAGGCGGCAGCCTACTAGTAAGCACTGGGAGCCAAGGTTAATCGGTATCAGCTGAGCAAGGAGTCAACCTTGCCATGATCACCGGTGGTTGGATTGAAGCTTGCCGATTTAGCACTGAGCTTCGCTTGAGTGCCTTTTCACAGGAGACAAATGTTACTAAAGTAGCCGTCAGATACTGTATATATTGCGGATAGCACTAGTGTGCTCAGTGCTCACTGGTGTCACATCGCCAGTAGAGTTCACACAAACTTTCCGATAAAGTCATCCTGCCTCGGACTGATAGCACAGAACTAATGCTCACCGTTTCCGCCGCCGATGACAGGCAAGAACCTCCCCAGTGTAGTACCCTACGCATAAATCAGTCACGGTATCGACGGAACCGAGAACTGCACATACCTGATGGGAATCGATCGCGATGACTCCGTAAGGGCACATTTCCAGACTGAGGCGGTCGACCACGGACTCGGAGCATACCGTGAGCCTGACTGCTTCTGAGATGACGACTCCGAGTCCCGGGAAGAAGGCCAGCCGCGATCCACAGCATGGCACAGGGAGATTAGGTATCCTGATCCAATATTTCGAGCCTCCAGTCATCAAACACTGGGGTCCACCGCCACTGTTTTGTCGTCTTCGAGCGATCCAGCTTTGATCTAGCCCGGAGCCTGGACCCAGCGTAATGCGTTCAAATTGAGGGTTCAAGTTCGTCGGGCCAAGCAACTTGAAGGGCAAAGCTTAAAGAAGCGCTTGACGCTTCGCGCGACACGCCAAGATGCCGTCAGGACACAGTAATGCTGAGCGCAAGGCTACGGCGCGGTCTAGATCTACTCTAGTGGGGCCGGGCGGGGAGAACAACTTGAAGTCTCCGGGTCGACTCGTCATGACCGACGCAGACTCGCTGGCAGATGCGTCAAGTTCCTAATGCCCGTGGAAGGATTGCTAAACAGTTCGAGCGAGCTTGCTAAGCGGGATATTGCCATTGCTATTGTTTGTATTCTTGACTATGGCGGCGTGCTTGGAGGCAGGGGTGAAGAAGGGAAAGAAGGGGAAGTCGACTTACGTCAACACCCCGTGACCGCTGATCGGATAAATTTCTTCAGGTTGCCCACTGGAAGTTTTCAAGACGTCGTTATAGATATAAATACAAACAAGAGAGAGGCTTATAAATACAGTAGCTATGATCCTAGAATACATGATATTAATGAGTCGCAGTGTAAGGCCAGTGTGGTCAAGTAGATGGTATCGACTGGACGTGTCGTTATTTGTCGTTTAAAGCGTGTTGGGAGTCGGCAAGCTAGCAATGCGGGTGCTGCGGCGGGTCCCAATGGGACGGATGGGCCGAGATTGTGGCGCTGGAGCCTCGAGGGTGACCGCGGAGGTCGAAGCGGTAGGCATATCACCATCGAGAGCGACGGTTGTGCTGGCGGCAACACTGGCGGCCGTCTTAGGCTTGGGGGCAGCCCGCTTGCGCTTGAGGGGCCGATGCGAACATGCAACAGTCTCGTACTGCTCTTCTAGGTCGTCTCCGGTGGCACCGTTATGGTCAACCAACGCCTTCCGAGTCCCCTTTCCCTTCCCCTGCGCGGCCTTTGCTTTGCCCTTGCCCTTGGTCAACCGAAGGCGCTTTGCCCCCCTTCATATTCTCCTCGGCCTCCTCCACTAACGGGACGGAAGACTTGAGCGAACAGAGCACCCCAGCACCCCACTCGGTAGCATGATTCGAAAGGTACCAAGTTGGGTCCTTCAAAAGGTCCTCAACAATGTGCTCGACGCTGAGGAGTTCGCCGTGGGTGGCCCTGATAGCGGCCACAAGCGCGTTAAAGGACTCGAAGCGGTCATGTTCCGACGGTTTCTGGCCGAAACCTCCGTCCTGCGGTGATTCCGGCATGTAGTCCACAACCCAGTCGCTCGTGACCTGGTCCTCCCCGAAGTTCTGGTAGTATACCGGCGCGATCTGCTTCAGGTTCGTGCGAGGGCGGTTGGGGTCACTGGGAATTCCCCAGGCGGCATCGGCGAGGAGGTTGAAATTGTCGTTGTCCATGATGCTGTGGGAGTGACGATGTATGTGGAGGGGACGATATTGGCGAAAGAGAGAACGGGGAAGAGATCCAATACGATGTGAGCTTGAGGGAGGCCAGTACCCAGCTTTATACTCTCACCCAGCATTCCTAATTGCCGTCGCGTAGGGCGCATGACAGGCACGCTTTGTGAGCCTAAGAGTCGTGTCCAGCGCTTTGATGGCGCAACAAAGCCTCGGCGGGCATGCATGGGAACCGGTCCTAACGTGATACAACGGTGCTTTGACCGTCTCGGAGCCGCTTTTCCGGGTATATACCGGTCACTGTTGTTCGGATGGCAGGGTTGTTTGTCGGGTGGGAGCCTTGCACACAGAGAGAACTCTGGCGACAGGGGGGAGGACATGGGATGACTGTTGTAAACACAGAAGACTTTGCGTGAAAAGACGGCCCGGATGACTTCAGTAGACGCTTGTTCGTCGGGGAAGCCCTTATCGCGAGGGAAAATAGACTCTGGTGCCGTTTCTGAATCCAGCCATACATCATCAACCAGTCGAGGTGAATTTCTCCTCCTCCTCCCGCACAAAAAATAAGCTCTGGGGCTACTAACCGAGTATCTGAGACGCGCAATAAGTAGGAGCGCACATGGAAATCATCGGAAGACGCACCATGGACCTTCTTCCCTACTTTCATTCCCTATGCAAACGATGGTCTTTTCACAGTTGTTCGAGAACGAAAAGGGATCCAAGGAGTCGGAGGTCAGAAAAGCGGTTACGGCGGTCAGCGCTCAGCTACTAGTAGCCATGCTGCCTTGGCACGTTGAGAATCAGTGAGTGTGGTCGAGGGAGACGAAATGGCGACATACGGAGTCAATATCCACCCAAGCTTAGCCTGCAGTTGTCCATTGGCATGAGAGCATACAAAGACGCGATAAAAGACGCACCACATAGGCTTACCATTCCTGTCGTGGAAGGCAGAGGCCGTATGAAGCAACAAGCGAGGGCTTAGTCAGCATGGCACATCCTGTTTTCGACCATCATCTCGGGTTTCTCCTTCAAGCTTCAAGTTGGGCTTTTGGGCATGCAGCCAAACTCAGCGCTCCTATTTTCTGTCTTTCTAGTCTAGGATCAAGTCGACTCAACATTCTATCGTTACACGTCAACTAAAAATTAGCTGGAATGATTCAATGAAGGCCCCACAAGACATCTGAGCTGACACCTGCTGTGAGTGAGTCAGCGCTTCGACTTGTTTTACTCTCCGAGCGCTTTCGCAATCCTGGCGCTGGCAGATTGACAACTGTTGCGCACCCTACTGTCGCGGGCGGCGAATCATATCTACTCTCCACCTGTCACGCAGGCTAACACGCCGAACGGCATGCAGGACTCTCTAGCGCGCCCGCCGACATGCAGGCTTCAACCTCCCTTCCTCAACACCCGTCTGTCTTCAAGTCCAACGGACTCGGGATTTCATTGTGCCTGCCAATGTGACATTCTGTGTCGATTTAAAAGCCCCGCGCCTGCAACCTCTGAAGCCGTCTGCGACAACTTCGAGCCTCCCCTTCCCTCTTTCACTAGTTTCGACTTCTGCCCCAAATCAAGCTCTCAATGCCTGCCTTCATTCTTTCGTTTATCCTTGCTTTATCCTTCGCCCTGCGCAGCGCGCCGGCGCAAGCACTCACTATTCCTCTCCCTATTTCGCTCGAGCGCCGTCTGATCGACGATGCCGTCGCCTGCGTAACCTGTGGACCGGCCTACATTCTGCATATCGTCTTCGGTATCGGCGGTGAGTTATTCATTCCTTCCTTATCTTCCCAACAACCCTCTATCTATGACTTTTATCCAATGCTTCGACATTCTTTTCGTTGCTGTCGCGCTAATCCTTTCAATTCTAGGCACTCTTCTGGTCCTGGGCATTCTTGCTGCCATAGTCTTCTTCGTCCTCCGCCGCAACAAGCAGCTCGCCCTCCAACGGCAACAGGCGCAGCAGAACGCAATGCAAATTTCTCGTTCGTGCTCCTTTTATTTTCCTTTCATAAGTTGAATATATACTCTACAGCGGTATGATTAAAATGCTCTTGAATAAACCTCCCGATAAGCTCATCCGCACCTAGCCAATCATGACCGAAAGCTACGACTCGGCCTCCGTGGATGCACCTGAAAAACTTGAACCGGTTAGTATCCACACTTGTTCCGTTCCCTTTATAACGCAAAAACAGGTGCCTCTCTACGCTGCTCCGGGGTCAACCCGCATATGATTCAAAGCCGCACAAGTAGGGCGAGATGAATTATAATATTTACAAGCCCATAGTAGGCTAGCAAGGATTATAGAGGCCATACCCGTACCAACCAATAGTATACACATACTGCCCTCTCAGTCGTCCTTCTTCTCCTTAATCATCGCCTGCGACTCACGCATATGGGCCTCCGCCTCGTCACGCTCAAACGCAATCTTGCGCCCCTTGACCTCCATCCCCGGCTCTCGCAGCGCAAACGGGTTCACGTCTTTGTCTGGCTCGAGGTTCGCCAGACTGTGGTTTACGAACCTACGCGACACATATCAGCAACACGATAAAAGGAAGGGGCAGCCGCATACCGATGGGTAGTCTCGTCGCTCCGGACAGCATATATCACGTCGAGCAGGGTCGCATCTGGGGACAGCCGCCAATAGTCGATTGCGATCTCTGGCGCAGGTTTGTTTGTCCATTCGGGAATGAGCCCTTTCTCGAGGTCGGAGATGCAGCGAGTACTAGGACGCGAGTTAGCTGGGTATTGATCCATGAGATGCCAGACATACTAGGTCAGAACCGCCTCTTCCTCCAGATAACCGACAAATCGATGACATGTGCGGGGCGAAATGAGATATGCCATGACTATACGGTCAAGTCAGAGAAGATAGACAGACAATGCGAGACACACAAAACAAATTGTAGAACACCCCTTGAGCGCCGAGTATAAGCGCACGGAACCAAATCGGGGAATCGCGGAGCGTCATAAACGTCCTACCATCCCGTTAGATATGTCGAAGAAGAGGTAAACCGTTACATTAGATGCATCCTCTCGTTCTCCGCTTCCTCAAGGCAGGTGTGGATCCAGCCACTATCGCGACGCTGTTTGTTGTTGGAACGGCGGAATCAGAACCGGATTGAAGCGGCTCACCATCAGGCGAATACTCTGCAGATGTCTCAGCGTCCCAGCCACCATACCCGGCACGCCCGCAATCGTCTCCAGGAACAATATTCGCTGTCAAGTATAAGGTTTTTGTTTGTGAGGGAGACAATATTTATCGCACATTGAGCCAACCACGTTCATCGAGAATGTACCCGCCCTTGCGCAGCTGCTGGACAGTCATATCGCTGCCCGGCGGGAGAGGCCTGTGCTTGTACCGCGAGACAAAGTCGAAGCCCCACCTACTCTCGTTTGAGCGAGCTCGCCTGGTAAAAAGAATGAAAGAACACACCTCGCCAGGCGAACGAGCCGATAGGCCATCTTGTCTGGTATGGTTTTTGCCTCCTGGTGCAGTACCTCCACGGCCTTGAGCTCCTCGGGCGAGTAGACCGGGTGGAAGAGCACCCAGTCTCCGCGAACCATAGTGGGCACGGTGCTGACTGGCCCGGGCGTTCTCAAGGGGGACTGGGCCATCTCGGGTGTTTCTGTGAATGTTCTCCGTTAGCATAACCCAGCACGCGCTAGAATGCAAACGGCGGCTTACGACGAGGACCAGATTTATCAGACGGATTGGACGTCGTTGTCGACATGAACGCGCCAGAGAAGTGGTGTGGGCGAGCACACAGCGCCGCCAGGGAGCGCGGCCCGTGTGCTTTCAGCGGAGCCACACGCAATAGCGTCGTCCGGAGCATATGCAGTCGTGGTTGTAAATGGGTTGCAGGTGGAGAGGAGGAGTGGCGGTGCTAGCCAATATATACACCCAATCGGAGGGGCCCGGATTGCACTCCGATCCGTCCCGTCCCATGAGTGGCCAATCCGAATTCGGGGAGCAGAGCGCCGACGTGCTGAGAGGATGATTGTCGCCGTGGAGCGCCTTTCCGAATAGCCAGGAACTACGCGGTGTTGGAAGTGATGATGACGTCGACCGGCGTCTTGGTTATGCCGGAGGGGAAGGCAGCGAATCACGCAGGGCAGGAGGTCTCGATTTCAACAGGACGGCCTTCCTTCGAGTTGACCGGAGCGAGAGACTTGAGCCAGTTGCGAGAAAAAGGAAGCTTGTTGGTACTTTGATGTGATGTGACGAATGCACGTGCTGTGACGCTCATTCGTATTTTTTATGTGTCATGGTTTCAATTGCGCAACGGGATCGGCAGGATCACCATCCAGCCTTTAAATTCGAACAGCCGATATACACCCTGAACATTTAACCCCCGAGCTTCTCTCCATGTTGCCAGCCAAAAGCATCAATGCTATCATCTCTGTTGGGCTCGGCACACTCTGTTTGATCGGCGGCTTCTCGCGGCTCACCCGCGGCAAATTTACCCCTGCACTCTTTGCTTACCAGACCTCCCGTGCAGCCCACGGGCCCAGCGGAGCTGCGGCGGCGCTTCCTATCATGGACTTCATCATTGGTGTGCTGTTCCTTTACCCACGCACTCGCAGATTGGCTGCCAGTTCTTTGATGGCAGCACTCGGCATTGCACTATATCAGGCATATGCAAAGGGCCTGGGTTGTATGCCGGAGGTGCTCATGCTGGTGCTTGCAGCAGGGGCATTTACAACCAGTTCCAGGCATCAGTGACATAGTTAGTCTGTTTTGACATGGCCATGCCTCAGATTTGACATTATCCTACAGTGCACCCTCCTTCAACACTCCTTACTCAGTTACTGTGTATTTTACTCATTTCAGATGCCGCGAGTTGCGCAGGGCACAATCTAATCCTCGCACAGAACATTTAACAGTTTCTTTTCGCGGGGAGCACAGTGACCCCACTCGAGAAATGCACTTATCCACACCAACCCGAACAGAATCTTGATAAACTGTGGCTGGCGATTGATTGATGAAAGATCATAACACTCAGGCCCTGATTGATGTCCGCGGGAAATCACACCGCATCCAATCCACGCAAACTCCGTGTGACTCACCCTCCGTTTCCCTCTCCTCAAACGAGCGCTGGCAACTGCAGCTGTCGGCACAACCAAGGAGAGTGGTGTATTCGTTACTCGGCACTGACGCAGGTGCGAAAAACACGCACGGGCCTCGCTTGCTCTGCATTTATTCTCATGTTAGCGTCGCTCATTGATCACACCCGATAGATATTAGGCAGGGGCGGTGTCGCGAGCGCATCTGGAATGCAGTGATTTGCTCACTGCTGGGGTCGATATAAAGCCGTGGTCGGCTGCTTGTCGTGTCAACTTTCCTTCCCAAACCACCCCGGCCCTCTACCACATCATGTCTGTGTCAGAACGCGAGCCGCTGCTGGGCGATGGCCACAAGACATGCCCCGTGACCGGGAAGACGGGCGACGGCCACGAGTTTGTACCCCCTATGGAGGGCGACGTGCGCTCCGTTTGTCCTGCAATCAATGCAATGGCGAATCATGGCTACATGTGCGTCGCATTTTCTCTCCTTTTGTGCTCTACTGACCTGACCGCAGTCCGCACGACGGGAAAGGCGTAACGCCGTGGATGATCTTCCGGGGGCTTCGCGCCTGCTATGGGCTGTCTATCCCGCTTGCCCTGACGCTTACCGGCGGGGGGTGGTTCTTCAACAAGCGCTACTTTGGGCAGGCGATCACGCTTGTTGAGCTCGGGCTGCACAACGGTGTTGAGCATGATGCCAGTGTTGTCCATGGGGACACACCCGTCCCCCCGCCCGTCGTCGGCCATGACGGAAAAGTCACCGTCAACACTGCCCGCAAAGGGCTGCTTGCACCCGTCGCCATCATCCCCGCCCTAGTCGAGGAGTTCATCTCCTCTATCGTGAAGCGCGCCAGCCTCGAGGCCTCCACCACGGAATTCGTGACCCCTACTCTGCCAGCCACCCTCCCTGAATCTGCCGTATTGATTACGGGACACGATATCGTGCAGACGCGGCTCCGGCGCGAGGCCCAGTCTCCGCCGCTCGACCCATTCCACGCCGAGCTTGCACGAGGGGAGATGTCCATCATCCTTGGTGTATGGGAAACCCAAAAACCGCTATCCCCGTTGCCCAGCGGATCACCGATACCTGCGCCGGGTATCCCGCTGCCGTGGATGCGCCACTGGCTCGCGGAGGAAAGGCTGCCCGACGGGTGGAAGCCCACGCATGTCCAGGGTCTCCGAGATGTGATCAGGCGCTCGACAGCGATGCGGAAGGAGATGAAGGCCATTAGGGAGGGCAAGTAATTTGGTTCGACTATATATCTATAATCTAGGGTAGCCTACTTAGGCCCTACTATGGGCTTGTAAATATTATAATTCATCTTGCCAATTGAGCATTAAATCTGCTTATATAACATGTTACCCCCTCCTTGCACGGCTCGCTCCAACGCTAAGTCGCGCTCGCTCGCCAAGTCGCGCGAGGCCAAGGCCATTCTAATATAGGGCTCTGAGCCGTGCACGGACCCATAAACAACGTCATGTGAGCACTTTTGTGCGTCGAGTAGCGGGCGAAAATTTGGGTTTGGGGCACTACAAAGAGCGGTTTTTCGGGCTTTTCGGGCAGACATGGTGGCAGGGCACTCAGAGTCAGGCTCGGGCTTCTCGGGTAGGGGTCAAAGCCATAGATTCAATATTTCTATGAGACACGCTAATTAACAACGCGTCGCGACGCGTCTGATCGCGTCAAATATGCATATGCGCCCAACTGCCTCTACCCGCACTCTCCTTCCAATGACAGCGCAAAGGCTCCCATCCAACGCAACTCCCTCAGCCCTCCACAGCGCGCCGTCCAATTCGTAAGTCGTTCCTGTACAGTGAAAAATGAGCTCTTGACTGCCGAAAAAGTGCATCAACGCCCTCACCCGAGTGACCACGGAATGGCATCATCAAACGCGTCCGCGCACAAGTCCCGCGTCCTCCCCGGCCTGTCAGGCCAAGCCGCCGCGCTCCTTCCCTCCCCGCGAGCGTCGCAAACGACGAATCCCGTGAATGCCGCTGCCATGGCAAGTGACATATCCGAGTCGGCGCGGGAAGATTTCGGTGGGAGGGAGGGGAACGAGCCGGAGGGAACATCTTAGCAAGGTTAAAAAGTACACTATGACATAAACTGACCGTCAATCGGGAACCAGTCATGGCGAGGGACCCGCAGCGTGACGGTAGGTGATGGCCGGGTGGCGTCCCGCAGGCGTGATATCAGCGCAAGAGAAACGGCGGACTGGATAGCCGGTTAGGCCGTCGCGCCGACAAAGTTGGAGCCGAGAGCCCGGCGGCACGCAGAGGTCGGGGGTAGGATGATCTGGACGAAGATGTCAGCAGAAATAGAAGTCAAAGATGACATGAACCTACAAGGGCCCAGCAGTAACAGTGGCGGATCCACTGTGCCGAGCACAATGACAGCCAGGCGGTGGCGTTCGCCTCCGGCGGCCCGGACCTGCGAAAAAATGAGCTTTGAATCGCAAAAAGAAGGGGTCAAGATGCACCTGAAAATACCATCAAAGTCTGATGATATCAATGATCCGGCGATCCGCAGCCGTGGCAAGCACTGTAAATGGGGTGAGTAAGAGGACGAGAGTCGAAACAAGGAGGCAACTGACCCGAAATGATGCGCCATCAACAATGACTGGGAGGTATCAGTTGGTATTGGCGGTGATGCACCGACTGATGCGGCTGATCTTGTGTGATGGCGCCGATGAGGGTGGGAATGGCAGCTAAAGACAGAGCTTTGCGAGGCCCAGAACCATGTTGAGGCTCCAGCTATCAAAGCCTGGGAGAAAAAATGAGCATGTGAGGGTCAGAAGAAGCGCCGAGATCTGCTTACGTAGGTTGAAGTGATGCGCCGTCAACGGCGGCTAGGTCCGCGGGAGGCAGCGGGCGGGAACCGGAAGCAGAAGCAGCGGCAGACAGCGAGTGCTGAGGACCGGCGCCGCCGCCAAAGGAAGGCGCCATGCCCACATGCTAACCAGATGGCAAAGCAGCGCCGATGTGCATGAGACATTGATGCGCCGACTGATGCAATGTTGGGGCGGCCGGGTGATGGCGGCCCAGGTGCCGCCAAAGACAGAGCTTTGGCTCTGGCAACGTTGAAGCCCGGAACAATGTTGGGCCTCCGGCCGCCAAAACCCTGAAGCAAAAAATGAGCATTTGAAGATCAAAATGTGCGCCGAAATCTGCTTACGTAAGCATCAAATTTGATCCGCAATCAAAATCAAAATCGCCCATTTCTCGCTAAACAAGTCAGTCTACAGCTTGAAAAAGAAGATCAAGACATACCACGACCAACAATAAGCTGTAGCGTCCCCACCAGTATTCGGCCAGAAGTTCCCCGGGGAGTCGTTGGACCATCCGGAGTAGATGCGACAAAAGACCTATCCAAGGCATGTGTCAGCAAAGTTAGATTCAGAACGCAAAGCAGCATACCAGTATGAGTTCCGCGTCCGACAGAGGTTTCCCATAGCTTCCCGCCTGCATCATCGTCGCCCGCAGCGGTGCCTCGTGCCCGCATTGATTCCGTCAGCAGTAGACGCAACAAAGAGCCTTGTAAAGGTCAACGACAACAGACTCAGAAGACCAAGGGAGTATACCAGCATAAGTCTTGTGTCCGAGCAGAGGTTCCCCCTACCACCATCGTTTCCCGCTCCACCGGCGATGACAACGAGACAAAGAACCTATCGAAGGTCAGTGTCATGGATGAAAAGGAATGCATAGAACTTACGAGCAGAGGTTCCCCAGACATTCACGCAGGTGTGGCCACTAAAGCTCAAGGTCAGCCTGAGCTTTCACACCCCAGAAGGCTAACAAAGACTTACCAGCCCTGTACGACAACATCAATTCTGCATACTAGTATGAGCAGAGGTTTCCGACACGAGACCGGCGTGGGCTCCTGCTCAAATGGCACACAGACACTGAAGAACCTGTGCAAACAGGTCAGGGATGCCAGACGTAAGTGGCCAAACAAACATACATACAACTCTCCGCGTACACCCATGGTTGACGGCGGCGGTGGCGGTAGCGCTACAACAGCAGCGATATTGCCGGCTGGCATGTCGGCACAGTTTTTCCATGCAGAGATTCCCGGTCCAAAACCGACATGAGACCGCTGAGCAAACAGAAAATCTGGAAATTCTATGAGTCGAGATCAAAACCAGATATATTCGGACCGGTACCATACCCCCCATCGAGAAGGCCCAAAATAAAGGCGGGACTCGGAATCGATAGTCGATAGTGAAGCTGCGAAAGGGGGGCTTCTGCGCTTCACACAAGGACAAAATCTGCAAGCTGTTAAGTCAAGGTCGAGGAGAGGAATTGCGACCATAGTACATACCTCGGGCGCAATGTAAGCACGCAGGGAAAGTCTAGAGAGAGTCGGCGGAGGACATGCCACTGCGATCGCGAGTGCGCTGTCGGTTTCTCTGAAAGGCGAGTCAAGCATTTGACTGACGACAATGTGAGAAGGGAAAAGATCAAGCAAACGGCCAGACTCACCGCATTCAAGTTGGTGGGCAAGCAGCCGCAACTTGAAGCTCAGGCTCCTGCGGCGTAAGATGTCGAGGTGATATTCAGAGTCCAGCGCACCAGACACAGATGGTTCTGGGGAGGGTGTGAGGAGAAAGCGAGAAGTCAAGAGGGCTTGCGGACGTACCGGCACTTGAATGGGCGCGCGTTGAGCATCGCGACGGCAAGCAAAGGTAGTGGTGGAGTGAAGACAACCAGTATTTGATGTGACGGTCAAATCGTCACGTCAACAAACGAAGCTGCGGTCCAAGGGCGGAGCGCACGTGTGGAGGGAGTTAGAGTGGTGAGTTTGCGTCACTGTCCCGGCTTGCCCGACATGATCGCAGGTGTCGAGAAGTTTGCGGGCATGGTGCGGAGTGGAGGTGATAAAGCGGAGAGAAAGAAGGTGTGTGTTCTGAAACTTCAAGTTACTGCTTGGGCCAGACTGAGCCAGGTGGTAGCATGAGGTGGGTTCCAGCCTGAATGCGACTGGGTGATTGCTACTACTTATGATGCTTTTTCCCAGACACTGACGGGCCGCGCTACCCCGACTCGGAGACTCAACAAGCTAGTTGTGGCGCCTCGGGGAGCAATCGGGCGGCGGAAGAATGTAAGTGTGGGCGTCGGTAGTGCGGTTAAAGAAGGGTTGAAGTCATGCACGTTGCGAGGTTAGTGACGTGCTTGTGGCAGGCGGGCGTGGGATGGCGATAAGAATACCTGAGCGACTGGTCCAGCAAGTCTTCCTAGCGCTACTGGTGATCGTCTGCCCTTGATTTGCCCTCCAGCTGTTCTACCTCATTGATTTTGGCACTCCATCATTTCCATTGTTTTTGGTTGCAAAATTCTCACTTGGAAAAGACCTCAAATGTGCTGAACACGTCGGATACTCGTATAGAAGTCCCCCCTCCCCTTGCTTGCATTCCCTCTGCGGAGAACTTTGCAAACAACACACAATTCCCGATTGGGAAGTTGGTCCGGGACCCCTCGGGCTCAGCGCCTTTCTTACCGATGCACAAGTCCATTTCATTGCCATTTCAGATAAGTTCTGAATATACTCTGCCTCCGTCTGCCGAGAGCTGTCCGAGGCTTATCGCGGGGCGGGATACCATCCAATTGAACACACACATAAAACAAGCATTTTGTGGAGTAAGTCACGCGAAGTGCGCTTTGAAGGCCGATTAAGGTGCCAAATGGATATTAATAGATTTTCTGTGATGCTTTGGGCCCATCAGGCAGCTTCGAAAGTATAGAATCGTACGATCTGACCACATCAATTTCCGCAAACCAACACATTAAGGGAGCTTATCTTACCAACCCGCCGCACTTTGTCCACTTGACAGGTGGATCCTGTCGCCGCCTTCGATGGACATACTTCTTCTCCCGATGACGTGTGGACATCCCCGAGAAGCCGCTCTTTGGCCCCACCGCTATAAGTTTGTTAGCTTCCACCATCTTCGCAAAACCACACTCTCCCTTTCCCCCCCATCTGCCTTTCCACCACTCCATCCCTCCCTCCCTCACAATTTTCCCCGGCATCAACGTCGCCCTGCTCGTCGTCCGCTCTCCTCGCTCGCCTCCGGCCCACCCGGTCGAGCATCACGTGTGGTTGACTTTGCATTCATTGTTGTCATCGTTGTCGTTGTGCTGACCATCATGTGCAGGCCGTTGCCCCCGTCTCTCTCTCTCCTTCCCTCCATTCACTGGTGCATCCCTGTCCACCGTTGCCTCCCCTCGCTGACTTGAGGGAAGCCGTA